AAAGCGGCACACCAACAGAAAAAAAAAACTTGCTACTGGCACTGGGTGCATGCCCTTTTGCTTTGGTATAACGTAGTTGTAGCAGACAGGGTAAAACAGAAAATTAGGACATGTGAAGAACATAATGGACAGAGATAATATAGAAAATTAGGATGTGTAAAGAACATAATGGACAGGGATAATATAGAAAATTAGGATGTGTAAAGGACACAATGGACAGGGATAATAATAATTTCCAATAACTGATTAAATGTTTAATAATGTCTAATAACTAATTAAATATAATAACTAATTAATTGCTTGATAATTTCCAATAACTGATTAAATGTTTAATAATGTCTAATAACTAATTAAATGTTCAGTAACTTATTAAATGCCTAATAATATCCAATAACTAATTAACTGTTCAATAACTAATTGAAGAAAATTAGGATGTGTAAAGGACATAATGGACAGGGATAATATAGAAAATTAGGATGTATAAATGACATAATGGACAGGGATAATATAGAAAATTAAGATGTATAAAAGACATAATAAACAGAAAAAAAATATAGAAAATAAGGATATGTAAAAGACATTATGGACAGGCACAGTAAAGAAAATCAAGACAGTTTAATAATGCAATGAATTATTTTGTGAGTAAATTTCCGACATTTTGCACAAATAGTTTGCAAGACAAATATTTGGGCCTTCCTTTGTGAAAGACCGCTTGTATTTTTTATTCTTGTTTGTTAAAATGTTTGGTTGTTTCTGTTGTCTTCCTATAGAATCTAAATTAGGAACTTATGGTAACTAACTTTACTTTGTGTGTTTACACGTTAGTGCTAGCGTTGTCATCCTATATTTTGTTTGTTGTTTGTTTGTTAAATATCCTAGCTTATGAAGCCTAATATTGTTAAATCTTCTAGTCTTTTGTGTCTTCAACTTATTTAAAATGTAAATTCTCCATTCAGCAAAGAGACTGAATACTAGATCAGAAGTTCTGTGTGTATCTAGACACAAGTGGGAGAAACCATTTAGTAAAGAGAAAGCATACGAGATCTGATGTTCTGTGTGTATCTACACACAAGTAGGAAATTATTTATTTGGCCATTTAGCAAAGAGACCGAATACTATATCTGATGTTCTGTGTGTATTTAGACACAAGTAGGAAGTTATTTTTTGGGGGGCCATTTAGCAAAGAGACTGAATACTAGATCGGATGTTCTGTGTGTATCTAGACACAAGTCGGAGGAACCATTTAGCAAAAAGAATGCATATGAAATCTGATGTTCTGTGTGTATCTAGACACAAGTGGGAGGAACCATTTTGCAAAGAGAATGCATACGAGATCTGATGTTCTGTGTGTATCTACACACAAGTAGGAAATTATTTATTTGGCCATTTAGCAAAAAGACCGAATACTATATCTGATGTTCTGTGTGTATTTAGACACAAGTAGGAAGTTATTTTTTGGGGGGCCATTTAGCAAAGAGACTGAATACTAGATCGGATGTTCTGTGTGTATCTAGACACAAGTGGGAGGAACCATTTAGCAAATAGAATGCATATGAAATCTGATGTTCTGTGTGTATCTAGACACAAGTGGGAGGAACCATTTAGCAAATAGAATGCATATGAAATCTGATGTTCTGTGTGTATCTAGACACAAGTGGGAGGAACCATTTAGCAAAGAGAATGCTTATGAAATCTGATGTTCTGTGTGCATCTAGACACAAGTGGGAGGAACCATTTAGCAAAGAGAATGCTTATGAAATCTGATGTTCTGTGTGTATCTAGACACAAGTGGGAGGAACCATTTAGCAAAGAGACTGCATACAAGATCCAATGTTCTGTGTGTATCTAGACACAAGTGTGAGGAACCATTTAGCAAAGAGACTGCATACGAGATCTGATTTTCTGTGTGTATCTAGACACAAGTGGGAGGAAGTAATTTATTTGGGTTTAGCAAAGAGACTGCCTACTAGGTCTGATGTTCTGTGGACATCATCTTCATCATCATCGTTGTCGCCATATAGAAAATACGATAAAGAATGTTGCTCTCATCACATTCTGCCTGAAAGGAACTCGGTCTGTTGCCAGCTCTCTCTCTCCTTGTGCACGTGCCTACTCATACTGTCACTCATGCTGGTCGGTCTCAGCATCTCTTTTCTGGCACCATTCCTTCTGCTACTATCTTTCCAATCCACGTTTGATACGGCCAAAATATTTTCAGCTTTTAAGACAAAGGGCTGTATATTGAGAGAATGTCAAACAACAGAGCGGTGAAAGCTGTATGCACAAGGGAGCTGAGTGGTCTTAGACCACAAGGAAGACCAAGAAAATTATGGAGAGATAATGTCCAGACAGACCTACAAACACTTGGTGTCACTAACTGGAAAGAGAACGCTAAGCAGAGAGATGAATGGAGGTGTGCGATATCTGCAGCAGTGAACCTCAAGGGCTCAGAACACTGAAGAAGAAGAAGAAGTAGAAGACAAGAGGCTGTTTACTAGCCAGTCATCCTTGATGTTCAGTTCCTTTATGATTTCAGTATTTCTTGTCTTCTTGGTTTATGGATAAATCTTTCTATAGCATTTCATTCAGCTTACGAGCCTCTATCTTCTTCCTTAATGACTGCAAGAAAGTCCACGACTCACATCTTTATATTGCCACAGGATTTATGCATGCCTTCAAAACTTTGACTCATTGTGTGTGGCACATTGGATGTTATTAGATGTGTTTATTTATTATCTGCCCTGCTAGCCTGTATTTTTTTATGGAGAATCACATTGTTTGCATGGAACTTGTATAGTTCTCAGTTTTCTTACTGTTTTTACCGTCAGTATTTGCCATTTGGCTGTGAATCATGGTCAATTAATAAACAAGCCAAATCATTTCTGGAAACCTCGGAAATATGGTTTTACAGAGAAATTCTTACAATTCCACAGACAGCCAAAAAGTGCAACCAAGATATTTTGAAAGAGGCGAGGGCTCAAAAACAGTTTTTCACAGATACCAGATAGAGGCAGCCATCATTATTTGGTCATATGAGAAGAAGGAAACCTAACATGTGGTGACCACTGAAAGGATTATTGGGGACAGAGGAAGACAGCGCAAGAAGATTCTTGTGAGCCTTTTGTCATGGAATGGAGGGGTGTCAGCAGACAAACTGCTATATGCTGTTGAAGATCGCATATTGTGGAGAGGCATGATCACCCACACCGGATAGCGATGTAGGATAGCAAGCATGTGAGGAGGGTGGTGGGGGGGGGGGGGGGAGCGCCAGGAGCCTGAGCATGTAGGAATGCGTTGCTAATGCAACTGTAACAGACTGCGCAGGAAAGGGTTTTTACCCCAACATGTTGAATTAGGAATCAGCATCGCAGAACTCATGACACCCCCATAAGCACTCCGTCCCCATCTTCAGCAGCAAGCGAAGAGTAAAAATTCTGATGGTACCAGTAATTGATTGTATATCCACCTCGCCTTTCCCCTGAGTGTCGAGCCTCGGCCAGATCACCTTGTAACTCTTCGCAGTGCCATTCTCCTCAGACTGTAATGATCTATCTGTGCCTCGGCACTGTTCACTCAACATAAAAGTCTTCATCTCTTCCTGAGAATCAACCCTGGGCCTCCCACTTGAGAACCTGGCGCTCTAATCACCGCTGTTATAAATTCTTTTTTGGAGACTGGTGCAATCTTGAGGTTGTATCAGTCCAGAGGTCGCATCAATCCCGAGGTCGCATCAGTCCAGCAGTCACAGGGTGTATGAGTAATGTGGATATTTTGCAAGGATCACGTAGGCATGTTTGGGGTTTTTAGGAGTTCGCTAAAATCGGATATGTTGGGCCAAAAGGCGCAGATGTTACAGAGTGGCTATAAACCGCAATGTACCAACCGTACCAACCGCCCTTTCAAGGGTGAAACATAAGAAGAAATAAATTTTAAAAAATATGGTTTTCTCTGTCACATTTAGGTTTCCAGATAGTTTATAGTGTTACATTAAGTGTGCTGAAATTATTTTCTGTTACATTTAGAATCTGTTAAAGTTGCTTTCTTCATGTTAAGAATGTGCTAAAGCAACTTTCTTTGTCTTATTAAGAGTTTGCCAGATACTTTATGAAAAATGCGAAGAAAGGAATCGATGAACTGTTTCAGCCCCAGTGAACTTACCTTGCTTTAATTAAGTATTCTGTACAAATAATTCATTTCCTTGCAGTAATTAAGTATTCTGTACATATAATCCATTTCCTTGCAGTAATTAAGTATTCTGTACATATAATTCATTTCTGTACATTAATTGAGTATTCTGTGCATATAATTCATTTTCTGTTGAAACTCCATGCAGAGACAACCAAGTATCTTGATTAAAGCTTTTCTTTGGACAAATCTGGGATATGGATTTGCTGAACCCCACGTTGTGGTGCACCATGACACCAATGCAAACAGGAAGAAGCATGGACAGAGCTGATATCATCAGCACTGTACGGACTAGGTTGGGGGATAATGTTGAATCTCTGACGCTAACACGACTGCATGACCGAGGAGTTGAGCTTGGTGAAGAACGTCTATGCCATCTTTGAAGTAAAGACAGGAGATACTATAACCAACTTCTCATGGGAACAATCAGTAAAGGTATCCTGAGTGGCTGCTGCATCAGAGGACTGAGCATTCATGGGGATGCCCAATGTGCAAAGTTGTTGATTGTGATAAGATAACAAAGCACCAGGACCACGGCTCATACTGTTCAAGACCTGCCCACACTTCTCCACTGACATCCTAAAAACAGATTCCTTTCCCCCAGAGTTTACAGCTGGTAAGCACAAAGAGGAATAAGATCAGACACATTAAATATAATAAGAAGAATCCATAGCCACCTTCACAAACTGGAGAACCTAGTAAAGACAATGCAGATAGCAAATTGAATGTCCTAGTCATAATGTGTGTTGAGTCGGTTAATCTTTTTTATATCAGCTCAAACAAATTTCAAAAGAAATAATTTGTAACCTTATCAGAATCTGTGACTTTCGACGCTTCGGAGTTTCCACAAGAGATCAACTTTAGTGGAGCAGGGGAGGTTCGTATCCAGGGAAAGAAACTTCTTGGCCACCAGCTGCTTGCGTTATTTGTGAAACGCTTTCACCATGTCCGTCGCAGCAAGAAGGGTTTCCTTAGTGAGGTAGGTCATATAGTTTCTTCATCTCCTTCTGTTTCTCCTTCTCCTCCTTCTTCTTCTCCTGCTCCTTCTCCTCCTCCTTCTTCTTCTCCTCTTCACCTGTTTCTCCTCCTGCTCCTTCTCCTCCTCATCCTTCTTCATCTCCTCCTACTCCTCCTTCATCTCCTCTTCCTCCTTCTTCGATTCACTGTCTTTAAACTGTTTAATTTCTGGACACTGATTTTGTTCCAGATGTTGAGTTTTGCCTGCAAATCCCTTTTACAGATCTGGCTTATATGAATGCAGACTGTTGGTTCTTCACCTCTCAGTCAGAAGAGTATCAATAAATTTATGAATAAATTGATAATGGATGTTTGGTCACTATCAGTGAAAAGGGTGTTTATGAAAAAAAAATTAATGAAAGAGTTATCACAAACTAAATGGTTGTTTAATCAATGGGGCAGCAGATTTGCTACTATCAGCAAGAAGGGTGTTTTGTCAGCAGGTCGATGGCAAAAGATTTGCAATAAAAGAACATATCAGATTTATGGTGTTTCACGACATTTAACTTCTCTCTGTGTGTTTTTTTAAAAAAAAGGGGTGGGGGGGGGGGGGGGGGGGGAAGAATAAAAAAAATAAAAAACACACACACATTCCACTAATGTGCTTGTTTGAACTTGAAGATTTTACTTCCGGCTGGATTTGTCTGCTTGGCCATGGTGTTTGCGCTGATTACACCCCCGTTTTCTGAGGAGCCAGCCTTGGAGCTTCAGCCTTGGATGTATGAGCCTAAGAAGGGAGATTCTTCACTCTTTACATTCTACAGGTAGGCGTTTTGTCACTGTATACATTTACAAGTAGGCATTTTGTAACTCTTTACATTCTGTAGGGAGGCATTTCGTCGCTCTTTACATTCTACAGGTAGGCTTGTTGTCACTCTTTACATTCTACCAATAGGTATGTTGTCATTCTTTACATTCTACCAATAGGTCTGTTATCACTCTTTACATTCTGTAGGTAGGTATGTTGTCACTCTTTACATTCTGTAGGTAGGTATGTTGTCACTCTTTACATTCTGTAGATAGGTATGTTGTCACTCTTTACATTCTGTAGATAGGTATGTTGTCACTCTTTACATTCTACCAATAGGTCTGTTGTCACTCTTTACATTCTGTAGATAGGTATGTTGTCACTCTTTACATTCTGTAGGTAGGTATGTTGTCACTCTTTACATTCTGTAGATAGGTATGTTGTCACTCTTTACATTCTGTAGATAGGTATGTTGTCACTCTTTAGATTCTGTAGATAGGTATGTTGTCACTCTTTACATTCTACCAATAGGTCTGTTGTCACTCTTTACATTCTGTAGATAGGTATGTTGTCACTCTTTACATTCTGTAGATAGGTATGTTGTCACTCTTTACATTCTGTAGATAGGTATGTTGTCACTCTTTACATTCTGTAGATAGGTATGTTGTCACTCTTTACATTCTGTAGGTAGGTGTGTTGTCACTCTTTACATTCTGTAGATAGGTATGTTGTCACTCCTTACATTCTGTAGGTAGGTATGTTGTCACTCTTTACATTCTGTAGATAGGTATGTTGTCACTCTTTACATTCTGTAGATAGGTATGTTGTCACTCTTTACATTCTGTAGATAGATTTGTCATCTTATACATGGGGCTGTCTTATTCTCCAAAATACGGTAGGTACCAGGTAAAGTCCTGGGAAGTAAAGGTGGCCGCCGTGATGTTGACCACATTACCCATGCCTGTCAAATGGTCCCTAAAAATCTGGAGTGAGCATCATATGCTTGATGCACTAAAGGTATGAAATAGGCTCTTGTTTTATTACTATCTTATTTTGTTGTACTCTCTGATTTGGATCCTTAGCGGCTAGATGCTCGCCTGTGGAATCGGAAGGTCATATAGGTTCTGGTCCTGGTGGAGCCGGACTGTTGAGTTTTTTCCTTCAAAAATGACCTTGACTCCCAGGTCGACCCACCCTTAAATGGAGTCCTGGGAAGTAAAAGCAGCTGGCGTGATGTTGATCACATCACCCACTGAATGCCGATTGGACTAAAAAATATAGGTCTAGCCCTATATGCTCAGTATGACTGAATCGTGGAAAAATGTTCTTTACTTCACTTTACCCTCTGATTGACAGCAATGACCAAACATCACACCCAACTTCAGCAGCAATGGAAGCCAGCTTGTTGAAAGTACCTTACTATGGCTGTCGATGTATGAACTCCAGTCTCTACACAATCAGGTAAGATGTCATTTCAACATACATGTGATATGGGTATGTTGTCATATTTCAGCGGATGTGAGAATACTGAAGCAAGATGTCATTTTTTTTAGCAGACATGAGGAAATTGGTGTCAGATGCCATTTGTCAACAAACATGAGAATATTGGTGTCAAATGTCATATTTCAGCAAATATGAGAATTTTGGTGTCAGGTGTCATTTTTCAACAAATATGAGAATTTTTGTATCAGTTGTCATATTTCAGCAAACAGGAGAATAGTAATATCAGATGTCATATTTCAGCAAGCAGGAGAAACTAGTATCAGATGTCTTATTTCAGCCAAACAGGAGAATATTAGTTTCACATGACTCTAATTCTTTCTTTTTATCAGAAAAACCTTTTCTGATTCCCTTTCTGTTGTCATTGACTGCTACAGAATATCTGCTGTCTGTCTGTCTGTCTGCCTGCCTGCCTGCCTGCCTGCCTGCCTGCCTGCCTGCCTGCCTGTCTGTCTGTCTGTCTGTCTGTCTGTCTGTCTGTCTGTCTGTCTGTCTGTCTGTCTGTCTGTCTGTCTGTCTGTCTGTCTGTCTGTCTGTCTGTCTGTCTGTCTGTCTGTCTGTCTGTCTGTCTGTCTGTCTGTCTGTCTGTCTGTCTGTTCTCTGCTTAATGCTGTTAGGTGTCGCAGGCATGGCTAATGATCAGTTTCCGGGATATTGAACACTCATTAACTTGCTGCATAGTAATATTGTTGACTTTCAGCAAGTTATTAACTCCATTTTTTTCAGCAAAGTTTCAAACAATTTTACATACATAGGAAAAAAGTAACAAATCACCAATGCCATTACAAGCGTAACTCCAGCTGTGCTTATATATGTTTTTTTTGGGGCAGAGGAGGACAAACATCAAAATGTGTTTTTAAAACAGTGATGTTTTTCCTCTGTATGAAATCTCATGGGAGACTGTGTAGATATATTGTTGTCAAATTTGTTTTACTGTGTGTCCTGTCCAATGCCAGCGACCTTTCCTCACCTCTTGATCTACTGGAATTTGCTTAGTTCTGACCAAGGTGTTCACACTATGGATGTCTTTTCTGTGTTAAAGGTTATAAACACAGTTTCATAATTTCATCATGCTGGCAGTTTCGTAGTTGACCGCTTTGCCTTAATTGTGATAATTTATGAATGTAAAGCCATCCAGAAAGCAGTGGCAAACTCACTCAGTCAGTCAGTTAATCAGTCAGTAAAGTGTTATCTTCATAGTGAAGGTTGGCTTGAGGGGATCTACAACAGGCCATGACTTTCACCATGGTTGAGCATTCTCTCAGACATCTGTCCATCTCTTAATGTTATCCTTACACTTGTATCGCTGACTGCATCTTGCTAACTTGCCTTAAACTTTCTGCTCCAGTATGATTTTTAAAGATTTTTTAAAGAATGTTATGTCTTTTAATATGGCAGAAATATTTTACTTGGTAAAAATCATCATCATCATCAACACTGTCCTCTTGTGCTATTGTGTGTCACATAGGGCTCGCAGACAGTTCCTCAGTTCCATTCTGTTCTATGTCTTCGTTATCATGGATAGTTGAGTTGAGTTGAGTCAAGAATTGGCATCACAGCACTTGGGACATTCCCATGCATGCTCCGTCCTCATCTTCAGCAGCCAGCGCAGAGTTCCAATACTGATGGTACCGGTCACAATCTGGTTATATGTCCGTCTTGCCTTTTCTCTGAGTGTAGTTAGCCAGCCAGACCCTCTGGTTACACCCAGGTGCCTCATTCTCTCCAAGTCTTGATAATCTTCTTTCTCTACTGATTCCGTTGCTTGTTCCCAAAGGGCCTTGACCACATCTGCCTTGTCATGTATCAATTCACCACCTAATGGTTTATATCTAGCCAATATGTCTGCCCGTTCATTACCCACCACGTCGGCATGGCCTGGAGAAAAGATCCAAAGTATGCTCACTACCCGTGACCTTTTCAATGAAGCTAGCCACTCTGCTCGAAGCATCCCTGTCTTCACCTTTCTCAGCATGCCTTCAGTCTGTTGCAATTACGACATGTGTATGCATCTTGTTCTCTAACCACCAGAGAGCTACAGTTACCACCTCCACCTCCATTCTCATGCTAGATGGTGTGGTGATGATAGGGATCGCAGTCTGTTCCTCTATTCCATTCTGTTCTCTGTCTTTGTTATCATGACTAGAATTCAGTCTATCACTTTTTAAGGTTTCATCAACATTCATTTCACAGTTTCTTTTGGACTTCCTCGCTTTCTCACCCCCCCCCCCCCCCCTTTAATTCCCATTTTAATGCCAGTTTGGTGATTCTTTGCTTAATTCTTCTCATGATGTGTCCAATAAGGTGCCGTCCTGTCTTATAAAGGAAATTATCAGTGATTGCGCCAATTTTTCTCTGATTTCTTCACCCCTCCTTTTGAATTCATTCCATTTCACTTAACAAAATAGTGAACATAAAAATTGGCTAGTTGAAAAAATAAATAAACACCCAGCAAATGCTGGGGTCGATATGCGACTCCTTTAAAGGATTTGCAGCTAACATTAAGAAAAAAATTATTGTGTGTCAAGTGACACGAAAAATTGTTCAAATCATCATTAGCATAGACGAAAGTTTGAGTAGTGTCCTGTGCAGGGTTTTTTGCTAGGAATTAACAACATGTAAGAACACATCACAAAGGTTTTTGTTTTTTTTGTTGTTTTTGTTTTAAAAAGGTGCCGGTACTCACCACAAAATGTGTATTACAGTAGTGCTTAAAAAATGTAAAAGTGCTGGTACTGCATACTATTGCATCTTCTTCTTCTTCTTCTCTATCACCTTGTACCTCAGTGAAGTGTCAGGGGAGATGTAATGTTCGTTGATGAGCTCTGTCGAGAGCACTATTAAGACTGATGTTCATTTCTGTAAGGCTGTTCTTAATGCCATCACTCCATATTTTCCGAGGTCTTCCACTCGCTCTATACCCGTTGTAACGTTTTAGTGTGGCTCGCTGTGGCGGATAGTACCATTGCATAACACCATGAATAAAGCCCTTTTCTTGAGAAACCTGAGGGGATAATCCAGCACACGGTTTTTGCTGAACAGACTTTGATTCAAATTGTTTCTCCCAGCGGCAAGTCTTGTGCAGTAGACACTGGTGGTCTTAGCTGGACTTCACGGCCATCATTGACTGGGAACATTAGCATTGATTCTCCTGCCTGTTCCTGCGAGACTGGCTTTCAACAGTGTCCAGACAGTAAGTGTACAACCTCATAACAGTCTGACTGCCAACAGTGTCCAGACAGTAAGTGTACAACCTCATGAAAGTCTGACTGCCAACAGTGTTCAGACAGTAAGTGTACAACCTCATGACAGTCTGACTGCCAACAGTGTCCCGACAGTAAGTGTACATGTGAACAAGAACAAAGTGTACAACCTCATGACCGTCTGACTGCCAACATTGTTCAGACAGTAAGTGTACATGTGAACAAGAACAAAGTGTACAACCTCATGACCGTCTGACTGCCAACAGTGTTCAGACAGTAAGTGTACAACCTCATGACAGTCTGACTGCCAACAGTGTTCAGACAGTAAGTGTACATGTGAACAAGAACAAAGTGTACAAGTGTACAAGCTCATGACAGTCTGACTGTCAACAGTGTTCAGACAGTAAGTGTACAACCTCATGACAGTCTGACTGCCAACAGTGTCCAGACAGTAAGTGTACATGTGAACAAGAACAAAGTGTACAAGTGTACAAGCTCATGACAGTCTGACTGTCAACAGTGTTCAGACAGTAAGTGTACAACCTCATGACAGTCTGACTGCCAACAGTGTCCAGACAGTAAGTGTACATGTGAACAAGAACAAAGTGTACAAGTGTACAAGCTCATGACAGTCTGACTGCCAACAGTGTTCAGACAGTCAGTGTACAACCTCATGACAGTCGGATCCCCAACAGTGTCCAGACAGTAAATTTTTCCCCTCAGTGGGGCCCTGGAACCCTCACGGGGCTGTAAGTATACAGGTGCATAAGACTATGTTGTTCTGACTGTCAATAGTAGACAGACAGTAATTGTAAACCATTATTGTCACCGGAGCTACGGTAGCTGGTATGTATGCTTTAACATTTACTGTTACAATTATGCTAAATAAATTGTTAATGGTGAAAAAGACGTGTTTTTTTTTTTGGGCACTGAAAAGATATCAAACCAAACAAAAAATAGAGCCAGTCCGCTTCATATCATCTCAAACATATAAGTTGTTGGGGCAGAGCAGCTAGATGCTCGCCAGACATTGGAAGGTCTTGGGTTTGCTCCCTGCCAGAGCCGGACTTTACAAAAAAATGACCTTGGCTCCCAGGTCGACCCAGCCTTTAGTGGGTACTTGGTGCAGTCCTGGGAAGTAAAGGCAGCCTGGATGATGCTGACCACATCCCCCACCTTGTGCTGATTGGTCTATAAAATAAAGGTCTAGCTATCTATGCCCTATACGCCTAAAGACATGGAAAAGGGTCCTTTATTTTTTACATCTCAAACGACAAGTGCATGTTGTAGCTAGAGAATCTTCTTTAGCATCTTCTTCTTTACTCTACTCCTGGATCACCTCGCAGCATCAGGGCAGGAAGAGATCTCTGGAACGGGCCCTTCTGTTCACTTCATATATCGGTGTCTCTGACATTTATGCGATCCATCTTGTGCATGGTCCACCTCTGGCTCTTTTACCCATGTATCTGTATAATATTGCTCTCTGTTGTTCTCTGTCTGAGTTTGATCTTGATAAATATTAGCCAGAACAGCTGTAAACAGCAAGGGCCATAACTCAAAAACATTAGTTAAAACTGTGCACTAGGGACTTCAGCCAAGTACCAGAAACGAAGGTACTTGTGATTACATTTGTCTGTATATCATTATAGCTGTTGATTTATACCTTAATAATTTGTCATCTTGTGCTTTATGTAAGTTGTTGGATTATATTATAAGTTGCTGGTGTATATCATTGTAAATTATTGGTGGTTATCATTGCAAATTGTTGGTTTATATCATTGCAAATTGTTGGTGTATATCATTATAAGTTTTTGGTTATATCATTGTATGTCTTTGGTTAAATCATTGTAAGTTGTTGATTTTTGATTTTGTAAGTTGTTGATGTATGTCATTATGTTATTGACTTATGCTTTTGTAAGTTGCTGGTGTATGTTATTGTGAGTTTTTTTAAAAACTTGATGATGTTGTAAATTGTTTGTATATTAAAGTTGATAGTGGATGAATGTATGAATGTGTGTATTGCATGCATTCATATACATGTATCATTGTAAGTTGTTGACTTATCCATTTTATGTTGTTGATGAATGATGTTGAGTAGCAGCTGGCTGAGTGGCTAGAATGTTAGGTTCTCATGGGAGCCCCGAGTTCGACCCAAGGTAAATTGACAGAGATTTTTTTGTCAGGGCAAAATTAAATAGCCCAACCTCTACAGTTTGTGGGTACATCACTAGCCATGCGACCCTAAATCCTCTGTTTCTTGACCTCCCGCCCCCTCCCCGTCTAAACCGCCATAAACTGTGGTAAATACAGACAGAAGTGACAGGTTTGTTTTTGTTTTTCTAGATTAATGATGTTGTATTTTTTTGGGTGTTTATTTGTAGAAAGAATTGTTGTGTGCCTTCACACATTTATCAAGTACAATGGTACTTCCAAAGAAAAACAGTGTATGCTAATGCTTGCTTGAGCCGTGCTGCAGAGATGTTTTGATCTCTTTCTAGATATGGTGGCTTCAGCGTTGGTGAGAAAACCAGATTGGGGCAGCTGAATACAACATGGATCTCAGCTGTAATCTCCGGCATTGTTAATTCTACAGGCGGCAACATGTCTGTTTCAGTGGCAGCTCAACGATTGTGGCAAAATGTGAAAGCTGCAGCGAGATTTGTCATAGCTGACTACAATGTGAAGGTAGTCTTTTGTCAGAGATTAGAATATTTCTTGATCTATGTAGTATATGGAAAGAATGTCAGATGACAGAGAAGTAAAAACTGTATACACAAGGGAGATGAATGGTCGTAGACAATGAGGCAGACCAAGAAGACGGTGGAGAGATAATGTCCAGACAGACCTGCAAAAACTTGGTGTCACCAACTGGAAAGAAAAGGTCAACCAGAGATGAATGGAGGCTGGTAATATGAATGGAGGCGGAATGGAAGAATAAGTGATATCTGCAGAGCAATTATCAGGACTTCAAGGTCAACCCAGGCTTGGAATGCTGAAGAAGAATAGCCCTGTGGGATGCTGACCATGTCTCTCTGTCATTCATAAAATCAGGTCTAGCCCTTTACAGTGAACATAGAAAAGGGTGTCGTTTTCACGGCATTAAAACTTGGAATATGTAATTATCTGCACAGTCTGTAGGTGGAAAGTATCCTTTCAACCAATCCCATAGCCAGCTCTCCGGCACCATGTGCTCTTAATGCCAGTGCATCTTCAAGGATTGTCTTGTATCCATCTTTGCGGGGTTTGATCCACTGCCTCGCCTTCCACAAGCTGCACTTTATCTCCGCCACCGTCTACTTTCTCAGCTACACCACCATGTCGCTTGACTACTTTGTGGCTACACAAAATACTTTAACTACTTTTCAGCTAAAGTCTGCTGTTTATGACTTTATCAGCTACACAATCTCTCTTGATGTTCAACTCTTTTCAGAATGTCTCATGTTTAGAGTTAGACTACTTTATCACTGATCCATGGTTAGACTACTTTAAGAATCTCTTTGTCTGTTACATTTCTAATTCAGAAGCTACACATCTCTTTGTCGTTAGAGTTAGACTACTTTAGTCTCTCTGAGTTGAGAGACTCCAACACTCACACAACTTGTCATTAGAGCTTAAAATACTTTGTCTCTGCTGTCGTTAGGTTGACTACTTTATCAGCTACAAAGTCTCTACCAGACTACTTTATAAAGTCCTCTGGATTAGAGTTTGACTACTTTATCAGCTACAATGTGGCATTAGAGTTGGTACTTTATCAGCTAAAATCTCTCTGGTCTAGAGCTTTATCAGCCCACAGTCTCTCTGTCGTTAAGGCACTACTTTATCAGCTACACAGTCTCTCTGTCGTTAGAGTTAGACTACTTTTATCAGCTACACAGTCTCTCTGTTTAGTTTTACTATCAGCTACACAGTCTCTCTTTCATTAGAGTTGTCAGCTACACAACTCTTTGTATTTAGTTAGACTATTATCTGCACAGTCTCTCTGTATGTTAGACTACTTTATCAGCTACACAGTCTCTCCATTAGAGTTAGACTACTTTATCAGCTACACAGTCTCTTCTGTATTAGAGTTTGACTACTTTATCAGCTACACAGTCTCTTTGTCGTTAGAGTTATCAGCTTCACAGTCTCTCTGTCGTTAGAGTTAGACTACTTTATCAGCTACACAGTCTCTCTGTCATTAGAGTTAGATATTTATCAGCTACACAATCTCTCTGTCATTAGAGTTAGACTGACTTTATCAGATCTCTCTGTCGTTAGAGTTAGACTACTTTATGTTGTCTCTCTGTCATTAGAGTTAGACTACTTTATCAGCTACACAGTCTCTCTGTCATTAGAGTTTGACTACTTTATCAGCTACACAGTCTCTTTGTCGTTAGAGTTAGACTACTTTATCAGCTACACAGTCTCTCTGTCGTTAGAGTTTGACTACTTTATCAGCTACACTGTCTCTGTGTCGTTAGAGTTAGACTACTTTATCAGCTACACTGTCTCTCTGTCGTTAGAGTTAGACTACTTTATCAGCTACACTGTCTCTCTGTCGGTAGAGTTAGACTTCTTTATCAGCTACACAGTCTCTCTGTCATTAGAGTTAGACTACTTTATCAGCTACACAGTCTCTCTGTCGTTAGAGTTAGACTACTTTATCAGCTACACAGTCTCTTTGTCGTTAGAGTTAGACTACTTTATCAGCTACACAATCTCTCTGTCGTTAGAGTTAGACTACTTTATCAGCTACACAATCTCTCTGTCGTTAGAGTTAGACTACTTTATCAGCTACACAGTCTATCTGTCATTAGACTACTTTATCAGCTACACAGTCTCTCTGTCGTTAGAGTTGGACTAATTTATCAGCTACACAGTCTATTTGTCGTTAGAGTTAGACTACTTTATCAGCTACACAATCTCTCTGTCGTTAGAGTTAGACTACTTTATCAGCTACACAGTCTCTCTGTCATTAGAGTTAGACTACTTTATCAGCTATACAATCTCTCTGTCGTTAGAGTTAGACTACTTTATCAGCTACACAGTCTCTTTGTCGTTAGAGTTAGACTACTTTATCAGCTACACAGTCTCTCTGTCGTTAGAGTTAGACTACTTTATCAGTTACACAGTCTCTCTGTCGTTAGAGTTTGACTACTTTATCAGCTACACAGTCTCTCTGTCATTAGAGTTTGACTACTCTATCAGCTACACAGTCTCTTTGTCATTAGAGTTTGACTACTTTATCAGCTACACAGTCTCTCTGTCATTAGAGTTAGACTACTTTATCAGCTACACAGTCTCTCTGTCATTAGAGTTTGACTACTCTATCAGCTACACAGTCTGTTTGTCATTAGAGTTTGACTACTTTATCAGCTACACAATCTCTCTGTCGTTAGAGTTAGACTACTTTATCAGCTACACAGTCTCTCTGTCATTAGAGTTAGACTACTTTATCAGCTACACAATCTCTCTGTCGTTAGAGTTAGACTACTTTATCAGCTACACAGTCTCTCTGTCGTTAGAGTTAGACTACTTTATCAGTTACACAGTCTCTCTGTCGTTAGAGTTTGACTACTTTATCAGCTACACAGTCTCTCTGTCATTAGAGTTTGACTACTCTATCAGCTACACAGTCTCTTTGTCATTAGAGTTTGACTACTTTATCAGCTACACAGTCTCTTTGTTGTTAGAGTTAGACTACTTTATCAGCTACACAGTCTCTCTGTCATTAGAGTTAGACTACTTTATCAGCTACACAGTCTCTCTGTCATTAGAGTTTGACTACTTTATCAGCTACACAGTCTCTTTGTCGTTAGAGTTAGACTACTTTATCAGCTTCACTATCTCTCTGTCGTTAGAGTTAGACTACTTTATCAGCTACACAGTCTCTGTGTCATTAGAGTTGACTACTTTATCAACTACACAATCTCTCTGTCATTAGAGTTTAAAATGCTTTATTACCTGTACAGATATGTGGTGTTTATCTTCTGCTCTTTATCTTTCAGTAGAACTTGGGCCCTCATCCTTCTTTCAGATGTTTCATCTCCCTCTTTGCACTCACTGGTTGTAAACTGGTGGAAAGTTTTGGTTGTTTGTCCGCTTCTGGACTCTAGTCTTATTCCAGAACTTGAGTATTGCACGTTTTACAGATCTGGCTTCTTTGCATGCAGACTGCTGGTTCCTTGTCTCTTGCAGATGTAGTCTGAGTTCCATGGAGACCCCTAAGTCAGTAGTTGACTCTTACAACATGCTTTTTAGAGGAGCAATGGGTCTATTCCCCCCCCCCCCCCCCACCCCCGGCCACTTCCCCCTTTCCCACATACCATCACATAAACTCTTTTTATTCAACTCAAAAATCCCTTTGCCATATGTTTCTGGTCTTCTTTTACTCCTATGACCCTGAGGATTCCTTTGCAAAGACATTCTAGTTATATTGTTATCAGGTTTTTGCATATCCATTGATGCCCTTATTTTATCAGTGAATGATGTGCCTTATAAGTGTTGTCTTCATGTGTTATGTCATCAGGTGTGGTTCAACAACAAGGGCTGGGCAGCCAGTGTCTCTTATATGAATGCTTTAAACAATGTCATCCTACGGTCACTGCTCCCTCCTGGCGAGGACCCCCTCAACTATGGCATCGTCACCTTTAATCACCCCATGAACCTCACCAAGGAACAACTTAGCGAGGAAACTTTGTAAGTTCTTGTCTGTATATTTCTCATTGATACTTTGATACATTTTGTGTGTGGCTAGCTCAGTGACAACCATATATAGTTCCTGTAGCTGACTTAGTGTAGTGACAACCTTATATAGTTCTTCTTGCTAATTGACAGTCATCCTAGGGACAACCATGTGTAATTTTTCTAGCTGTGACAACCATCATAATGACAGTGGTGACCAAGTATAATTCTCCTAGCTCAGTGACAACCATTATAGTATCAACAATGTATAATTTGAATAATTCTCCAGTGGTAGTATCAACAATGTATAATTTGAATAATTCTCCTAGCTCAGTGGCAACCATTATAGTATCAACAACGTATAATTTGAATAATTCTCCTAGCTCAGTGACAACCATTATAGTATCAACAATGTATAATTTGAATAATTCTCCTAGCTCAGTGACAACCATTATAGTATCAACATTGTATAATTGGAATAATTCTCCTAGCTCAGTGACAAACATTATAGTATCATTTGAATAATTAGCTCAGTGACAACCATTATAGTATCAACAATGTATAATTTGAATAATTCTCCTAGCTCAGTGGCAACCATTATAGTATCAACAATGTATAATTTGAATAATTCTCCTAGCTCAGTGACAACCATTATAGTATCAACAATGTATAATTTGAATAATTCTCCTAGCTCAGTGACAACCATTATAGTATCAACATTGTATAATTGGAATAATTCTCCTAGCTCAGTGACAACCATTATAGTATCAAAAATGTATAATTTGAATAATTAGCTCAGTGACAACCATTATAGTATCAACAATGTATAATTTGAATAATTCTCCTAGTTCAGTGACAACCATTATAGTATCAACAATGTATAATTGGAATAATTCTCCTAGCTCAGTGACAACCATTATAGGATCAACAATGTATAATTGGAATAATTCTCCTAGCTCAGTGACAACCATTATAGTATCAACAATGTATAATTGGAATAATTCTCCTAGCTCAGTGACAACCATTATAGGATCAACAATGTATAATTGGGATAATTCTCCTAGCTCAGTGGCAACCATTATAGTATCAACAATGTATAATTGGAATAATTCTCCTAGCTCAGTGACAACCATTATAGTACAACCATTATATAATTCTCCAAGCTCATCAACATTATGTATAATTGGAATAATTCTCCTAGCTCAGTGACAACCATTATTATCAACATTGTATAATTGGAATAATTCTCCTAAGTGTATAATTGGGATAATTCTCCTAGCTCAGTGGCAACCATTATAGTATCAACAATGTATAATTGGAATAATTCTCCTAGCTCAGTGACAACCATTATAGTATCAACAATGTATAATTGGAATAATTCTCCTAGCTCAGTGACAACCATTATAGTATCAACAATGTATAATTGGAATAATTCTCCTAGCTCAGTGGCAACCATTATAGTATCAACAATGTATAATTGGAATAATTCTCCTAGCTCAGTGACAACCATTATAGTATCAACAATGTATAATTGGAATAATTCTCCTAGCTCAGTGACAACCATTATAGTATCAACATTGTATAATTGGAATAATTCTCCTAGCTCAGTGGCAACCATTATAGTATCAACATGTATAATTGGAATAATTCTCCTAGCTCAGTGACAACCATTATAGTATCAACATTGTATAATTGGAATAATTCTCCTAGCTCAGTGACAACCATTATAATATCAACCATGTAAATGTTTTTTTCTTCCAACTCAGTGACAGCCATGTTTAATTTTTTTTAATTTGTTAACTAAGCCACAGACCAGTTTATGAAAACTTGCATGTTTCCAATCTGTCGACACAGCAACAAAGGTGCAGTGGACGTTGTGGTGGCAATCTGTGTCATCTTTGCCATGTCGTTTGTGCCAGCAAGTTTTGTCCTGTTCCTGATAGAAGAACGTGTGTCCAACAGCAAACATTTGCAGTTCGTCTCCGGCATCAAGCCTATTATCTACTGGCTGGCAAACTGGGCCTGGGATATGGTATGGCTATGTGACCCTTGCTTGTTTTTTCCAACTATATGTCAGCATTTTCTGGTTTATGTTTTTACAGTAAAGTCAGTAAAAGTAAAGTTACAAGTCCTTTTTCCATGTATCGATGGGTGATGGGGTCAGCATCACACCGACCACTTTTACTTTCCAGAACTTTGCCAGGTACCCATTTTAGGCTGGGTCGATCTGGGAGTCAAGCTCATTTTGATTCAGTGTGGATTTGAACCCACTACCTTCTGGCCTGCTGGCCAGCATCTAGCCACTACACCACAGCGGCTCCCATTTCACTAGAAAGGAGGATAAATAAAAAAAAAAATCTCATTTAATTCTTCTGGTGAAGCATTCCCCGTGATTAGGGAAATAAATATGCAGGCAGTTTGTGTCTTTGTTTGGATTAGCTTTTTCTAAACTTTCTTCTTAAAAAAAATAAATGAAGTGTTTTGGAAAAGAGGATTCTACTTCTTCACGTTCGCCAGCTGTAAACTCCGGTGGAAAGTTCTGGGTGTTTGTCCACTTCCAGACTTTAGTCTTGCTCCAGAACCTGAGTGTTGCCAGCACATCCCTTTCACCGATCTGGCTAATTTGTGTGCACACTGTTGGTTCTTGTCAGGCAAAGTCACTCTTGACTTCAAAAGATGACTGCGATTAGACAACTTCTATGACAAGCTTGGGGAGGCAGTGTAGGTCTATTCTTTTTTTCCCCCACAAAGGAGCCCCAGAACCCACACGGGGAGGAAAATAGAACAGCAATGATAATTATATGATGATAAGGAAAGTGAACAAAGAAGACACATTTAATTGATTACATAATTATTTTCAACAATCAAATTATGCCACACCGTAAGAGAAGTTACTGAATTATGTTTTCATTTTTTAACAGACAAATTACGACATGCCATGTGAGAAATTAATTAGTTATGTTTTCATTTTCAGCAGACAAATCATGCCATACCATAGGAGAAGTCAATGAATTATATTTAAATTTTCAACAATCATACAGTCTTTTGGAGAAGTTAATGATTATATTTTCATTTTCAACAATCAGATTATACAGTCCCTTGGAGAAGTTAATGAATTATATTTTTATTTTCAACAATCAGATTATACAGTCCCTTGGAGAAGTTAATGAATTATATTTTCATTTTCAACAATCAGATTATACAGTCCCTTGGAGAAGTTAATGAATTAAATTTTTTTTTTAACAGGCAAATTATGCTGTGCCAGCTATGCTGTGTATATTTATCTTTCTGGCATTTGGCAAGGAGTCATACGTGTCTGCCAAGAACTTTCCCTGTTTGTTTGCACTTTTGTTTTTATATGGGTAAGTAACATGTGCAACACTTACTAAAAAGTCATGTACTAACTATGCTATCACTTTATAGATCATAAACACCGTTTACAATAAATGCCATTCACTGCATGATTTATATGTGATATGCCAGTGTTTCTCAATTTTTTTTTTTTACACTGCAGCCCATCTAAATAGGGGATATTGTTTTAAAGCCCATATAACAGCTAATCAAACACAGATACAAAACCAAATGTAGATGGTCGTTTTTTATTTTTTAAGTTGATGTCATAAAATAGACTGGGGCCCATATTTAGAATAGCACTGCAATATACCATATTTTCTGTGTATAAAACATCACTCATGTTTATGATTACACATATTTTTTTTTTTTTAAAGTTAAAAAATCAAGAAGTAAATATTTTAATCACATTCTCTGTATAAGATGACCAACCCAATTTTAAAGTGAAAAATAACATTGAAAAAACATATTGTCTTATACACAAAAAAATGTGGTGCATTTTGCTATGTTATATATCCATGCAGCTGTCTGGGTTAGTGAAACTGTTTCACAGTGCAACACTTGATACTTCCCAAGGTTTGATTCTTGCAGTGGGCAGTTTAGAAAAAAGACTGTTCTTGTGGTTTCAGACAGTGGCATGGGAGTCACACTGTGGAGGAGGTTAGGTACTCACCATGTAATATTCTCATAGTTGTGGTGGATACAGTGCGGCAAACATCGGTAATGAAAAGAGCACCATTTGTTAAAATCAAATATCCAGTGGTTGTTTATCTCTTTTGCTAGCACAAACAAATGTTACTTTCAAAGGGTCACAAATTGGGCACACAGGCCCGTCTTACGTTCGGCCTTTCTAAGCACCCATCTTTCTCACAACAGTTGTATTCTATCAATGAAGCATGTTATGTTCAAATAATAATATGCATATTATGAATATCAAAGCGAGAAAACCACAAAAACATGGGTGGCAAATTGCATGCACACACTCGCTCACACACACACTCACATGCCCACTCACTTACACACACATGCATACACACCCACATAAACTGAACCTGAAAGCTGAATGTTATGGCAGTGATTAGCACTGGTATCAACAGTTATCAGACAAAGAAGATGGCGCCACATTGGACACATCCTCAGAGGAAACCATTTTCATAATAATTATATATATGATTTCTCACTTCACTGTTATCTATTTTCACAATAATTTTATATCTGGTCTTTTTTCACTGCTGCCTATTTTTGTAATAATTATATATCTGATTTCTCACTTCTCTGTTACCTATTTTCACAATGGTTTTATATCTGAAGTCTCATTTCAGTTCCCATTTCACACTGGTTTTATATTGAAGTCTCACAATGATTTTCACAATGGTTTTATATCTGAAGTCTCATTTCACTGTTACCTATTTTCACAATGGATTTATATCTGAAGTCTCATTTCACTGTTACCTATTTTCACAATGATTTATATATGATGTCTTTTTTTACTGTCACACACACACATGCATACACACCCATATAAACTGAACCTGAAAGCTGAATGTTATGGCAGTGCAGATTAGCACTAGTATCAACAGTTATCAGACAGAGAAGATGGCGCCACATTGGAAACATCCTCAGAGGAAACCAGCAGAGTATCACTAGACAGGCATTAAAATGTGAAATAAAGGGAGTGAGGAGGCAAAGATGCCCAAAAGAAACCATAAGATGAATGTTGATGAGAGAGGCTGGGGGTACTCGACCGGATTCCATCCATGAACTGATCTCACAGAATAGAACTGAATGGAGGTAACAGTGAAATGAGACTTCAGATATAAAATGATTGTGAAAATAGGTACCAGTGAAGTGAGACATATATATATTTATTATGAAAATAGGTAACAATGAAAAAAGAAGACATCAGATATAAAATCATTGTGAAAATAGGTAACAGTGAAATAAGGAGTCAGATATATAATCAGTGTGAAAATGGGTAACAGTGAAGTGAGACATCAGATCAGACTGGTTATATTCATTGTGAAAATAGGTAACAGTGAAATGAGACATTACACCTGACCAGATTAATAATCATTGTGAAAACAAGTTAACACTGTAACTAGACATGGTTGCACTGACATTCTCTTGTCCATCGATTTCAGCTGGGCAATCACACCAATGATGTACCCATTCTCACGACTGTTTGATGTGCCAAGTTCAGCATTTGTTTTCCTCTCGTGTGTCAATGTATTCTTGGGCACGGTGTCCACTCTGGCAACTTTTATCCTCGAGGTGTTGTCTCAAGATGACCCGGTAAATTTACTTTTTTCTTGTGTGTCTCAGGCCTTAATTCTTTTGGTACCATAAAGTAAAGTGCCCTTTTCCTCAACTTCAGGCATATTGGGCTTGACCTGTATTTTGTAGATCAGTCAGAACTTGTTGGGTGATGTAGTAAACATGGTGCCCCCCCCCCCCTTTTGGTACCAAGAGGGGGGTTAGATTAATTGCTTCTGTTCCATTCTAAAAATTTATTACCTCAGCCAATGAACATTTGGTCTGAAGAGGAGAAGATAACAATTTTTTTTTGGGGGGGGGGGGGGTGGGGTGGGGGGGGGGGGGGGAGGATGAGTTAAAGTAAGGACTGGAGCTGAGTAATAAGTGTAACAACTTGATATATCACAGGAAGTTAACCTTGTCACCCCAGGAATGCTAACAGTTGGGCCATGTCCCCATGAGAGGGCTCCCCCCCCCCCCCCCCCCACATCTAAAAAAAAAAAATGTTTTTGAAATATGTACAAATATGTAAAAGGAGTTGATATCAACTATAAACTTCTTAAAATTTGGTGAAAATGCAGAAAATACAATGGTATGGACAGGTAATAAGATCTAACGGCCTCTCAAAAACAATACTCGGGGCTCAGTAAAGGGCAGGAGGAGAAGAAGCAGACCAAGAAAGACCTAGATGCAGAAATTGACTGACTGAACAGGTCTTAAGCATGCAGCCATGCAGTTAATTGTATCTGACTGTCAGAGGTTGAGGGAGCTGATCAGACAGTCAACAGCAGCTTGTGACGCAACAATACACTGTGTTATGGGATGATGGTGATGATGATGAAAAGAAATTATTAGTAAACATGAACAGAGTGCAGCATTAAATAGAATACATTCTCAGAGGCATTCACACAATAGATATCTGGTGACTCATACTGTGACCCTGTGACCTCTATCATTGAGCCTTATGGAAAATTTGACATCATTTTGGATTTAAAAAAAAAAGGCTATTTTGTTCACAGGAAAACACCTCTAAATGTTAATTTTAGCTAATATGTTGACCTGACCTTTTAAATGTTTGTGCAATCATGTACTCAGCCAGTAGCATTAACTATAGGTCTCTTAAACACATCATTGTAGATTCTACAGCCATTGAATGAGAAGTAGAAGAAGAAGAAAGAGTTACTTGTAACCTATGAGAAGTTGTAAATGGGGACTATAATTGCAGCATTTTGGACAGATCCATAAGATGAACATCTCCTCCTACAGTGCTCTACAAGTGTAAAACAAATACAAAAATGACTACTATTACAACTATTAGAAGTAACAAGTGTAGAATTACCTGTAAATTAGACATTGATATAAATGTGTGCCTTTCAGGATCTGAAAGATATAAATAGCATTCTGAAACAAGTGTTCCTACTGCTTCCTCACTACTGCCTGGGGCGAGGCCTTATTGACATGGCTGCACTGCAGCTGCGTGCTGATGTTACAGCCAGACTAGGTCAGTATTGTAACTTTTGTTTGTTCTGGAATATTGGGGAAACAGTATTGCAGTGTTATCTTAACAGTATTGCCGTGTTGACAGAAGGAAATTGTGATGTTGCTGGAATAATGCTGGCCGCACTGTATCTCTGTGCTAATGTTACAGCCAGACTAGTTTAGTATAGGAGCATTTCTTTGTCTTGACATATTGCTGTACCAGTCTTGCACTGTTACCGTAAAAGTATTCACAAGTTTCTGTTAACAAAGGTGTGATGTTGCCAGTATAATCTTAAAAAATTGTGAAAATATAAGGGTGGTAAACTTAGTTTCAGCTTCATAGCAAACGGGTTCCCCTATAGTTGCTCCGCTCCTGTGCCAACGAAAAACACACATAATTTTGATCACAGTACCTTGTGGAAAGATTGACAGACTGCTGTCTCAGCATATTCACTAGCATACACACACATTAAAGCATACGGTAGCCATCAGAAGTGCTAACACAAACAGTCCGACATTAGAAATGCAGTTCATCATGGACGGTAGCAGAGGTTGCCAACAGATCAGCAGTTGCGCACGCGATCAATATTAATCACATAAGGGCAACACCAATATTGCAGTTACAGGCCACGCTCCATTTTCTGAATCTACAGTTCACAACACCACGTTGGTCACAGTAAAAAAACATTCCAAATGAAATCTGCAGCTCACAGGGTCGCGCCATGCACTCAACTCAGTTGCTGGCGCGACGAAACTATCCTTTCGGTCTACAAATGGATCAAAAATGCAATGGCCACCGTCCGGCAGAAGCAAAAAAATGTGCCTTGACGTGAAACAGTAACCGCGCCTGGCGTCCATTTTGATTGCATTCAAGCTAATACAAGAAATTCCAGTGAACTGTGACTTTGTTACCTTTGTGTAGTTCACCTCATGTTTGACATTTTGTGTTGTTTGTTATTTGTGTTGTTTTGTGCACGTTTTTCTGCTTCCCTGTTTGGTTAAACTTTTTAGTTACAGTATAATGTCAGTATGTTCCTTCAGAAATACATGGATGTTGCTAGAAGTTTTTTAAGATCGGTCAATTACTAAGCAAACATTAGAATTTGCCATATTACTGCGCTGTGATGTGATTGCATGTCATACACCAAAAGGGGAGAGGAGCATATAGCATGAGGAGACCAAAAGCAAGACGGAAACATAACATCACTGAAACTCTACTGCAGTTGAAAGTAAATGTAAAGTCAGGAGATGTGAACCAGCGTCATTGCACACGGTTATAAACCATAAGTGATCTGCCACCAGGACGGACAGCTGATAAGAAACTGTCCGCCTGTGTCGCCGTCCGTACATAACTCCCTAGCTACAGCGACATTAATCCATTTACCCCAGAGTGTCAACTCTGGTACCCATTTTCTAGAGGTTGGGTGAGCCAAAGGAACCGCCGGGTTACGAAAACCGGTCGTGGGCTGCATCGAGTCGCAGCTTGATTTGAAAGCGAGTCAGTTGAATGTGTTTATGGCGGAGGTGGACAGAGGAGCAAGAAACAGAACATTAGGTATCAGTGGGCATCCGAAGCAGTAAAAGAGGAAGGGAAGAAGAGGAGGACTGTGAAGTTGTCATACAACACTGTGATGTTGCTGTTACAACTTTATGATCTTGCTGTGAGAGCTTTGGTGTGTCTCTATAATTGAACCCTACTGTCTAAACTTCTCTGCCACTGACTGTTTCTGTCTGTCTGTCTGTCTGTCTGTCTGTCTGTCTGTCTGTCTGTCTGTCTGTCTGTCTGTCTGTCTGTCTGTCTGTCTGTCTGTCTGTCTGTCTGTCTGTCTGTCTGTCTGTCTGTCTGTCTGTCTGTCTGTCTGTCTGTCTGTCTGTCTGTCTGTCTGTCTGTCTGTCTGTCTGTCTGTCTGTCTGTCTCTTTCTCTCTCTCCCTCTCTACTACTCTCTCTCTCTCTCTCTCTCTCTCTCTCTCTCTCTCTCTCTCTCTCTCTCTCTCTCTCTCTCTCTCTCTCTCTCTCTCTGTCTCGCTGACAAATACATACACACATCAATCTATCTCTCCCTTGTCTACAACATTTTCTCCAACACCCTTTTTCTAGTTATTGACCAGTTCTGTAGCTGAATCCTACAGCCTCTGATCCCCTTCAAGAAATGTCCTACCGTTGTTATGAGATTGTCATAGTTGTTTGTGCCTTCATTGATCCTAGGAGATGAATACACATACAACTTGTTTGATTGGGATGTTGTTGGCAGAAACCTGTTTTCCATGATCATGCTGGGCCTTCTGTTCAACATTCTCAACTTATTGATTGAGTACAAATTCTTCTTATCCTGGTCGTAAGTATTCCCTGTTCATGATTTCTGTAACTCTTCTAACTATGGATGTAAGTATTCCCTTTGTGCTCTTCCTGCTGTAGATGTATTCTCTTTGTGCTCTTCCTGCTGCAGATGTATTCCCTTTGTGCTCTTTGTGCTGTGGATGTATTCCCTTTGTGCTCTTCCCCATGTGTGTGTATTTCCCTTGTCTTCCTGTTGTGGATGTAAGCATTTTCTTTCTTCTCTTGCTGTGGTGTAAGCATTTTCTTTCTTCTCTTCCTACTGCAGGTGGAATTATTTTCTTTCTTCTCTTCCTACTGTGGGTGTATTTATTCTCTTTCTTCTCTTCCTACTGCTGGTGTAATTATTTTCTTTCTTCTCTTCCTACTGCGGGATAATTATTCTCTTTCTTCTCTTCCTGCTGTGTGTGTAATTATTCTTTTTTTCTCCTGCTGTTGGTGTAATTATTATCTTTCTTCTCTTCAAGTTGTGGATGTAGGTAATTCCTTCTCATGACTTGTGTGATTATTTTTATGGATATAAGTGTGGTCTGTTAATGACTTGTGCAACTCTTTTGTTCTCACTCTCCCCTTTAAGCTTTTCCTATGGGCCAGTTTACAGGTCTCCCCCTCCCCCCTCTTTTTTTCCGTATATAGCTGACACTGATATCCCTGACAGACTCACATTTAACATTTACACATTTGATCTGTCACATTTAATCAAAACCATGACATCAGCAATCAAAACCATGACATCCGCAATCAAGACTGACATCTGCAATCAAGACCATGACATCCACAATCAAGACTGACATCTGCTATCAAGACCATGACATCCACAATCAAGACCATGACATCCACAATCAAGACTGACATCTGCAATCAAGACCATGACATCCACAATCAAGACCATGACATCCGCAATCAAGACTGACATCTGTAATCAAGACCATGACATCCATAATCAAAACCATGACATCCGCAATCAAGACTGACATCCGCAATCAAGACCATGATATCCATAATCAAGACCATGACATCCACAATCAAGACCAAGACATCCGCAATCAAAACTGACATCTGCAATCAAGACCATGACATCCACAATCAAGACCATGACATCCACAATCAAGACCATGACATCCACAATCAAGACAGTGACATCCACAATCAAGACCATGACATCCACAATCAATACTATGACATCCACAATCAAGACTATGACATCCACAATCAAGACCGTGACATCCACAATCAAAACCGTGACATCCACAATCAAGACTATGACACCCACAATCAAGACCATGACATTCACAATCAAGACTGTGACATCCACAATCAAAACCGTGACATCCACAATCAAGACCATGACATCCACAATCAAGACCGTGACATCCACAATCAAAACCGTGACATCCACAATCAAGACCATGACATCCACCATCCACAGTCAACATTTTACAGTGATCAGGCATGCCAGACCTATGGCCCTTTGCAGAAATAATTTTTATAGAATAACTTCTTTTAGTTGTCAGGTGGGGTCCTCATGGAAACACAAACGTGACCCATATAGCCCTTGGGGACACCTCTCAGTTTGACACGGCTGATCTGTGTGTGTGTCGTTCAACATCCCTAGGACTGTACCTCAGGGGACCATTACCTGGTCACACAAAGTGCTACCATTCAGTTGAGGATTACCTGGGTTTAAGTCCTAGGAACCCTGTTCAACTGTTAGGTTACATTAGGATCATTCCCCCCCCCCCCCCCCACTACATTTAGAAAGGGGGGGGGGGAGCTTTAAAATAATGAAAAATTGCCACCCACATTGGGATGAGAAGCACACCTGATCTAGACGATTGCCTCACTTAAGTAAATGAACAATGTTAAAATCATTCCTTCACAGCTTTCTGTCCAAGAACCCAACATTGAAGATTAAGAATGAGGATATTGACGTTGTCAGGGAAAAAGAGAGAGTTCTGTCAGGTGCTGCTAAAGATAACATTCTGAGACTAGAAGGACTTTCTAAGGTAATTACATGTTGTCTAATAAACAGGCAAATTGATCAGACTCTAATCCAAATCTTAGAATGTCGATAGTGATATTAACTCTTTTAATCCCATGAACAACGTTGCATATATAGATAATGTATTTTGAGGTATCTTTGTGTTCTTTCATTTGAACTTCAGCTATTGCACAGTGTATTCTCTAGTTTTTCAGTTTTGGTCGCAGCATTCTATAGAAATCTGGCTTTCCCACAGGCTGCTTACCAGTATGTGTTTAGCCTTGTTAAAGACAATGCTTTCGAGATTTTTGTAGGGAATTTTTGTTTACCAGTTGAGCACATGCTTAAAAGTCATATGGGACTGAAATAGTTGAGAAAGGAGAAATTCGTTCATGTTTGTAGTAATATTAATGGAAGGACATATATTCATGTTTGTAGAAACATCAATGGAAGGAGATAGAGATTTATTTTTGTAGAAACATCAATGGAAGGAGATAGAGATTAATTTTTGTAGAAACATCAATGGAATCAGATAGAGAGTCATGTTTGTAAAAAAAAAATCAAAGGAACGAGATAGAGATTAATGTTTGTAGAGGCACCAATGGAAGGAGACAGAGATTAATGTTTGTAGTAACATTAATGGAAGGAGACATATATTCATGTTTGCAGTAACAAAGGAGAAACAACCATGAACAATTTAACCATGCAGCCGCTCATACAATAACACAACCAGTGTGGACTTGCCAAAGTGTGGACTGAGTCAGAGACAGTAATGCCTTTGTCAGGGAAGCATTTAAAATCCCTGTCTGGGTTCAGGGGCCCCATCGATGGAGGATCACAGATTAAAGCAACTGGTCCCCTAAAAAGCATATAGTACATGTTGTATATTTATGGATGTTTCTTTTGAAGTAAGGGTACATTTCCCAGAGAGTTAAGGAACCAACAGTCTGCGTACAAATAGCCAGATCTGTAAAATGGATGTGCATGCAAAACTTAAGGTCTGGAACAAGACTAAAGTCCAGAAGCGGATGAACAACTAAAACTTTCCTGCTCTAGTTCACATGCAGTAGTTTATTGTGTAGTATTCATATCTACCAGTTGTTTATTGTGTAGTATTCATATCTACCAGTTATTTATTGTGTAGTCTTTAAATCTATCTACTGTTTATAGTGTATAAATTTTAAAAGATCTGAACATCAAGGAAGATTGGCTAATGAACAGCATCTTGTCTCGGAAGCTGAAATATTTTAGTTATATCAAGCGCCACAGTGTATTGGAAACAAAATAATAGCAGAAGGCATGGTACCAGAAAGAAGGGGCAAGGGCCAATCAACACGAAGATGGGCACAGGATGTAAGTGAGTCCTTATGTATAAAAAAACATGAGGCGGGAGAGCTGGCGAGAAAGACCGAGTTTCTTTCAGGCAGACCGTGATGAGGGCGACGTTCTGCAAAGGACCTGCTACATGATGATTATAATGGTATATTTTATCAGACCTAATGACTAACAATGTCCTTTCTGTCTTAACCAGGTGTACTGGACTCCGGGCAGGAAAAGTAAGATGACCGCTGTTGACCATCTCTATGTTGGGGTTCCGAAGGGTCAGTGTTTCGGCTTGTTGGGTGTCAATGGAGCTGGCAAGACTACAACATTCAAAATGTTGACAGGGGATGAACAAGTGACTCAGGGCGATGCCTTCGTCAATCAGTACAGGTGCCTTATGCTGTTGTTGTCAGCACGTTAGCTGTCTTTTATTGATTTATTTTTATAATTATTCTTATGTTGTCCTGAGAGTTAGAAAAAGAATTCTTGCTTGCTACATACATCCAGTTTTAACATATGGCTGTGAATCCTGGACAATCGGTAGGCAGGCCAAACAATTTCTAGAGGCCTCAAAGATGTGGTTTTACGGAAGAATGCTAAGAATACCTAGGACAGATAAAAAGAGCAACCAAGAGGTTTTGAAAGAGGCGGGCGGGAGCCCGAAGACAACTTATCACAGACATTAGAAGGAGACAGTCATCATTTTCCGGCCATGTTATGAGAAGAGGGAAAATAGAACATGTTGTGACCACTTGAAAGATCTGTGGAAGGAGGGATAGAGGAAGACAATGAGAGAAGATGCTTGACAGTCTTGTTGCTTAGCATGGAGGTGTGTTGGCACACGAACTGATACATGCTGCAGGAGATCGCAGATTATGGAGAGGCATGATCGCCCACGCCAGTCGGCAAGGCACTTGATGATGATGATGTTGTTGTCCTGTAAACAAACCAAACTACTACTATTTCTTCTTCTCTGCCTTTAAAATATCATGGAAAGATATAAAACCGAATGTAGAGTAGATCAGCGAGCTTCACAATATAACCCAAACAAAAGTGAGTGTTGTGGCTATGGAACACACACATAAATTGAACAAAAACCACACGAATACACAAAATCACACTTAACTGATGTATCCTGAAGCAGCCGCATTGATGTCTTGCCAGTGGCCTTTAAAAGGACGGTAATATCTGCACCTTTCATTCCAACACAAACAATTTCAACAACATCAAATTAGTCACCTTCTATAGCATGCGAGAGCAGCGGTTGGCCAAGCAATTACAGCATCAGGCTGTCATGCGGGAGACCCGAGTTTTACCCTCGGTAATGTGATGGAGATTTTCTGACAGTGGCACAATTAAACACCCTAACCTACACAGTTTGTGACGACAGCACTAGCCAAGAGGGCCTAAATCCCTATATAAGGGGACAACATAATCTAGCAGTTATTGTCCCTCCATATATAAGGGGGCAACATAACTTGGCAGTTATTGTGCCTCCATATATAGGGGGATAACATGATCTAGCAGTTATTTTGCCTCCATATATAAGGGGAGGACATAATCTAGCAGTTATTGTCCCTCCATATATAAGGAGGCAACATAACTTGGCAGTTATTGTGCCTCCATATATAAGGGGGAATAACATGATCTAGCAGTTATTTTGCCTCCATATATAAGGGGATGACATAATCTAGCAGTTATTGTGCCTCTATTTCACGGCTAACTTGAAAGTCACACGTAGAAGGAGTACAGGGGAAAGCATCCAAGAAGCTTGCAGTGATGAAAAAATTAGCGGGCACCACATGGGGCGCTAACTCCAGAATCCTGAAACAAGTATATACTGGAGCAGTCAGGCCAGTCATGGAATATGCCTCCACTGCATGGGCCGCAGCAGCCAAGACAACAATGGGAAAACTGGACAAGGTTCAGAATATGGGATTAAGGATTGTCCTCGGAGCCATGAAAACCACCCCCATCAGAGAGATAGAGAGGATAGCAGATACTGAACCACTCGAACTCAGAAGACAATACAAAACTCTTTTACAGTATGAGAAATTAAAAAAAGTCACCCACTGCATTTTAAATTTCAAGAGAAAACAAAAAAAGACTGAAGCGTCAGAGCCCCAACCACCTTGCTAGAGAACTGTACAGACAGCACCAAGATCTGCTTGAAAGAGATGTTGCACTGTGCGAAAAACTTAGGCCAGACCCATGGACAAGCAAGACAGAGAAGGCAAATGTAGTCCTAAAGATACCAGGGATCACTTCAAAAGATGCCTAGATGGAGACACAACAGAGAACCCTCGCTCTTGCTATGCTTGATGAGAAGTATCCAAACACCACTTGGACCCAGGTTTTCACTGACGGCTCTGCTACAGATGCAGACAGAAAGGGAGGCTGTGGAATATACATTAAACCCCCTAGCAGTAGAGCAGAAACTCTCTCTCTACCAGCAGGTGACATCTGCACCAACTTCAGAGCTGAGGCAACTGCCCTCCTCTCTGCAGTCCAACATCTCATCACTCAAGAACACAGAGGGCACAAAATTGTTATACTTAGTGACTCATTATCTGTTCTCCAAGCACTATTAAGCAAAAAACAAGACTAATTGCAGATCTAAGGACCAACATTGGCTTACTCTCCAAGGAAGCAGAACTGGTCTTGCCGTGGATACAAGTCCACTGTGGTATTCAAGGAAATGAGAGAGCAGATGAGTTGGCAAAAGCTGGGAGTAATCTTCCACAACCTCATCCACCACACAGCTACAAGGAAACCAAAACAGCGCTAAAGCAGTCCTTCAAGCGGGAGTGGAGAAGACAGAACGGAGATTACAGACCAGAGAGTGACAGCATAAACAAGAAAAAACATCAATTTTTAGACTTCGGACAGGACACTGTGGTCTTCGAGCACACCTGTACAGGATAGGCATAAAAGAATCTGCTGCCTGTGATTGTGGAGCAGAAAGACAGACCCCTGAGCACATACTGCAGCACTGCCCTAACCTCTCCCAGCAAAGACTGTGGATCTGGCCCAAGGGATCCACATTGCAAGAGAAGCTATGGGGGACCGGCGGTGACCTTAAACGCACAATCCTATTTGTGACTCAGACGGGACTCAATGTTTAGCATGACTGATGTCGAACGCAGAAGAAGAATGTGCCTCTATATGTAAAGGAATAACATAATTTAACAGTAACAGTTATTTTGCCTCCATATTTAAGGGATAACATAGTCTAACAGTTATTGTCCTCCATATATAAGGGATAACACAATCTAGTAGTTATTGTCTCCCATATATATATAAGGGGCAACATAATATAGTAGTTATTGTCCCCCATATATAAGGGGCAACATAATCTAGTAGTTATTGTTCCCCCATATACAAGGGGCAACATAGTCTAGTAGTTATTGTCCCCCATATATAAAGGATAATATAATCTAGTAGATATTGTCCCCCATATATAAGGGGCAACATAGTCTAGTAGTTATTGTGTCACCATATATAAGGGTATGATATAATGTAGCAGTTATTGTGTCCTGTATGTATAAAATGAAAAACATAATGTAGCAGTTATTATGTCCTCGTATATTTAGAAAGACTTAATGTTATTGTTTCCTTATCTGACTTATATGTTTGTGTTACCATTTGTTGTTTGTTTATAGCATTCGTAAAAACATGGTCCAAGTACGACAGTTTATGGGATACTGCCCTCAGTTTGATGCCCTTGACCCACTGTTGACAGGAAGAGAACACTTGGAGTTTTACGCAAGAGTACGAGGAATTTCAAGCCATGACACCAAATCTGTGAGCTGATTTCATTACTATGTTGTATAAAAATTGTATTTAATATATTAAGAGAAAATCAGGTCCGCTACAGATGGCAAGTGTTTGCTACCATCAATTCTTCTTTTTTTTCCACTGGCTGTAAACTTGTCCCCTAGCTGTAAACTTGTTCACCTGTTGTAAACTTGTTCACCAGTTGTAAACTTGTTCACCTGTTGTAAACTTGTTCACCTGTTGTAAACTTGTTCACCTGTTGTAAACTTGTTCACCAGTTGTAAACTTGTTCACCCGTTGTAAACTTGTTTACCGACTGTAAACTTGTTCACCTGTTGTAAACTTGTTCACCTGTTGTAAACTTGTTCACCAGCTGTAAACTTGTTCACCAGCTGTAAACTTGTCCCCCAGCTGTAAACTTGTTCACCAGCTGTAAACTTGTTCACCAGCTGTAAACTTGTTCACCAGCTGTAAACTTGTTCACCAGCTGTAAACTTGTCCCCCAGCTGTAAACTTGTTCACAGCTGTAAACTTGTTCACCGGTTGTAAACTTGTTCACCAGCTGTAAACCTGTTCACCAGCTGTAAACCTGTTCACCAGCTGTAAACTTGTTCACCGACTGTAAACTTGTTCACCAGCTGTAAACTTGTTCACCAGCTGTAAACTTGTTCATCAGCTGTAAACTTGTTCACCAGCTGTAAACTTGTTCACCAGCTATAAACTTGTTCATCAGCTGTAAACTTGTTCACCAGCTGTAAACTTGTTCACCAGCTATAAACTTGTTCACCCATTGTAAACTTGTTCACCAGCTGTAAACTTGTTCACCAGCTGTAAACTTGTTCACAGCTGTAAACTTGTTCACCGGCTGTAAACTTGTTCACCGGTTGTAAACTTGTTCACCAGCTGTAAACTTGTTCACCGACTGTAAACTTGTTCACCAGCTGTAAACTTGTTCACCCATTGTAAACTTGTTCATCAGCTGTAAACTTGTTCACCAGCTGTAAACTTGTTCACCAGCTATAAACTTGTTCATCAGCTGTAAACTTGTTCACCAGCTGTAAACTTGTTCACCAGCTATAAACTTGTTCACCCATTGTAAACTTGTTCACCAGCTGTAAACTTGTTCACCAACTGTAAACTTGTTCACCAGTTGTAAACTTGTTAACTGGTTGTAAACTTGTTCACCAGTTGTAAACTTGTTCACCAACTGTAAACTTGTTCACAGAAATTGCACACACAGTTAGTGCATATGGCAGTTGCTAGAGGTGCCAAAGCCAACAGTCGCCACCAGAAATGCAGTTTATCATTGATGAAAGTTGTTGGCTATATTAAATATCACAGCTCAACTGCTGTACATATGAAAGGCATTCTGCAGGAAAAACACAGCTCACAGGGCTGCACCGAGCACTAAACTCAATAGCTCAGGCTGTAAACTTGTTCACCGGTTGTAAACTCTGGTGGAAAATTATGCTTGTTCATCCACTTCTCAGCTTTGGTCTTGTTCCAGTACTTAAGTATTTTATGCACATCCATTGTACAGACCTGGTTTATTTTTATGCTAACGGTTGATTTCTGGCCTCTCAGGCAGATGACTTCAAAGGAAATGTTAATCCTATCTAGAGACACCCCCCCCCCCCCCCTTCCAATACTTTGGCCACATTAAAAGACATAACACACTTTTAAAAACCATACTGGAGGGAAAAGTCGAAGGCTAGAGAGCAAGAGGTGGGCAACGATACATGTGGGAGGAAAACATTGAGAAATAGATGGGCAGCAGTCCAAGAGAGTGTACAACCAGGACAAAGGACAGAATATGTCGTCGACCCATTGCAGCCAACCTTTATTTTGGAGATGGCACCTGATTGGTTGTTGGGTCCTATCTACATTGGCCAAGACTCCTGGTTGGGAACCTGCTTCTAGATGACTGTGGAGGGGTACAGATCCATGCATCTGAGTCGGGTAGAGGGAACTGATCAGCTATACAATGGCAACTGGTGATCCAGTAGCACTCACAGGTACAGGATTGTGTCATGACTACCACAGTTCCTGTGATAGATTATCTTCTTCTTCTTCTCCTCCTCCTCCTCCTTCTTCTTCTTCTCATCCTCCTCTTCCTCTCTTCTTCTTCTTAATCTTCTTAGCGTATATTCGCTGTAAACACCGGTGACAAATGCTGGTTGTTCGTGCACCTCTGGACATTGTGATCTTGTTTCAGAACTTAAGCTTTGCATGCAGATCCATTTAACAGATCTAGCTTCTATGTATGAAGTGTTTCTCTCCTCTCAGGCAGATGCAGTTTAACTTTGAAGGACACACCCCTGATTAGTTTCCTTCTATGACATGTTTGTTTGGGGGGCTGGACAGTGGATCTGTTCCCCCCCCCCCCAAACCCCTGCCAATGGGGCCCCAGGACCCACACGTGGGTAAATAAACTATGCCACTGATTTAATTTGTGTTAACTTTTGCAGGTGGCAGACTGGGTCATCCAAAGGCTGGGTCTAGCACAGCATGGTGACAAGATCTCTAGCAGTTACAGCGGGGGAAACAAGAGAAAGCTCTCCACCGCCATAGCCCTCATTGGGAACCCACCCATCATTTTCCTGGTGAGTCCATCAGCAACATTCATCATCATCATCCTCATGTGCCCAGGGTCTCCACATATCACGATCCCTGGTTGCCTGGAACAGCTCTCTTGATGATATCCCTCTATGCCATCGTTTCAGCCCATCCAGCATCATCTCTCTTGGTCTGCCTCTACCCCTTTTCTCACTGATCTTTCCAGTTGTCATGATGTTCTCCAATGTCTGTCTTCTCATTTTGTGGCCAAAGAACAGTGTTTGTCTCTTTCTTATTCTGTGTATATAGAGATCTACTTTCATTAGCTTCTTTCAAGCATACATTGTTAGTTACTCTGGCTGTCCAAGGTATTCGTAACATTCATTTTAAAAACCCCATCTCTGTTCCTTCCAAATTCTTCCTAATTTGTTCACTGACATTCCAAGATTCGCTGCCATACAGCAGAACAGGTTCTTTGTAACATTTTAGCACCCTCTTTTGATACTAATGTCATATTTTCATGTTTTCAGTGGAAATTGATAATGTCTTATTTTTATGTTTTCAGTGGAAGTTGATAGTATTGTCTTTTTGTCTGTGTTTTAAGTGGGAATCAGTGAAAGTATTCTCATATTGTTCATGTTTTCATTTAAAATGTGAAGCAATGTCTTATTTTTATGTTTTTTGTGGAAATTGTTGAGTTTTCATTAGAAATTGACCACAATGTCTTATTTTCATGTTTTCAGTGGAAAACAGTTTTCAGTTCTATCATTGTAAATTGATAGTAGTGTCTTATTGTCTATATTTTCAGTGGAATTGAAAGAAATTATTCTCCTATTTTTCATGTTTTCAGAGGAAATTATGATGTTGTCATACATTTGTTGTACTCATGTTTTCACTCATTAGGATGAGCCAACCACAGGTATGGATCCCGGGGCCAGGAGGTTCTTGTGGAACTGCATCAACAGCATAGTGAAGGCCGGCCATTCTGTGATTCTGACATCTCACAGGTTAGTGTTCTTGGAATGAGACAGTGAGGGGCATTTCATTTGATTTGTACTGGCACAGGAACGGAGCAAGTATAGGGAAACCTGATTGCAGGAAATTCTTCTTCTTCTTCTTCTTTGCGTTCAGTTATGTATGCTCCGATCAGACCATCAGGTGGGTTGCTCTATGCACTCACATGTCAGTAGCAGGTCTTTCATGGTTCACCATAGCTTGCTCTGCACACTTTGCTCTTGAGGCCAGGTGTCTTTTTGAAGTTGTAGGTAGAGTGGGCAGGTCTGCAGAAAGTGCTCAGGTGTTTGTCGTCCTGTTTGACAGGCACACTGTGGGGACTGTACAATCTTTATTTTATGCATGTGGTAGTTGAGCCTGCAGTGTCCTGTTCATAGATAGAAAATTGTTGTATGTTGCTTTCTGTTGAGTCTGCTGATGGAGTCTTATGGAGGTTTACTGTTTGTTCTCTCCACAGTTCCTTGTATTTTCCCTTGATATGTGTTATGATTTCTGGTAATTACAATGGATGGGTCCGTTGTTTCTCCTTTGTTCCATTTTTAGCAAGTCTGTCTGCTTACTCTCTCTTGGTATGCCGCCCTGAAGCAGGATCCACTGGAGAACGATCTGATTGTTTTCTGTGAGTCTGTTTAGCTGACGGGTCAATTTTCTCTCCATGCTGTCTCGTGGATCCCTATGAGTCGCCTGGAAAACTGACATGCAGTCACAAAGGAAAACAATTTTGCTGTTTTTAATATTTCTTTCCTCAAACACTTTGCCTGAATCAATAATTGCTTGCTGCTCTGCTCTGAAGTTTTTTGTTGAGAGTCTTCCAGAGGCATATGACATTTCTACTGTGGTCCCATCTTGCAGCATGATGACTGATCCAGCTCCTCCGTTTTTTCTGCTCCCTCCAATGATCCATTGGGGTATATGTGTGTCCATTCAGGTTTTGGACAAAAGGTGAAGACATGTTTAAGGGTCTTAGCATTCAGTACTAGGTCACATTCTTCAGCCTTTCTGTCAATGCCTGGAATTGTTGTTGTGACTGTATAGTTAAGTTGTAGGTCTATGCGGTATGCCTGGATTATTTCCCATAGTGAAGGATCTTTAGAAAAGAATGTTACTGTTTTTTGTGTAGTTCAATTTTGATAGATGGTGAAAGCTTTGTATTTGTCAGTTTTTAGTAGGTTATTTGCTATTCTGTGCATAGAGTTGTTCATGGGTTTAAATTTGTCAGTTAGGGTAAGCACCTTTTCTTCCCTTCAAAAGCTCAAGCTCTGGAAGCCAGAAGTTGCCTCCAGCTGATTGATTGGTGTACCACTCAAACCTCCTGTGATAATTCTGAGACCAGTGTTCTGTGTTTTGTCCAGTTTGTGTTGATTTTTTTTGGCTGCAGTGGAGTATGCTCCCATGCCGTACTTCAGTTTTGGTCGTAGGTATCCTGTGTATACTTGTCGTACAGTGTTGGTATCTGCACCCAGCTTGTTCCAGTAAGTTTCTTCTCAAGTCTGAGCCTCAAGGTAGCTTTCCTTTGAGTTTCTTCACTGTGGGGGCCCCAGGTTAGTCTTTTGTCGAATTTTACTCCCAAATATGTGGGGTTATCCTCTTTTAGAAGGATGTTGCCTTCTAGGTACAGATCACCTTTGTGGAAAGAGAGAAGAGAGTTGAGACGGTTTTGGTTTGGTTTATTGTGACTCCCCAAGAGTCTGTCCATTTCCTAACTGTATTTATAGCTTCCTGCATTCTTGTTTTAGTTGTTCCTATATCTTCAGCTTGAGTTCATATAGCCAGGTCATCTGCATGTAGGGCCTTGTGAATGTTAGTCGTGAACTGTTTTGGGAGGTCATTGATGAAAAGGATAAACAGGGTAGGAGATATAACACCTCCCTGGGAGACACCTTCTTGTAACCTGACCAGCTTGCTTTTGTGATCTTCCAGTCTGACTCTCGCAGCGTCTGTAAAGAAAGTCTCTAATCCAGGCAAACATATGCCCTTTTATCCCACAGTGTGCTAGTTTTAGCAAAAGTCCTTTCTTCCAGACCTTATTGAAGGCTTTGGTCAGGTCAAAGAAAGTAGCCAGCAGTTTGTATTTTCTGGAAAGCATCTTCAATTTCCTGTGCGAGATTAGAGGTTTGGTCATCAGTGTTTCTGTATCTCCTGAAGCCTGATTGGCTGTCATCCAACATCTTGTTTTCTTTCAGGAAATTAAGTAACCTGTTGTTCACTAATCTTTCCATGGTCTTTCCAAGGCAGCTTATGGGGTCGGTAACTACATTTGTTTTCCTTGGGCTTTCCTTTCTTGGCTATGGGGACTATTTCTGCCTCCTTCCATTCCTAAGGAAGTAGACACTGGGTCCAGGATTGATTGATAAGGTCTAAGAATCGTTGCCTACCTGCTGGTCCCAAGTGTACTATCATTTCATTTGTTATTCGATCAGGTCCAGTTGCCTTCTTTTTCCTAAGGTTTATTAATGCGCATTCAAGTTCTTGGGGACTGAAGAGTTTATTCCTTATATCTTGGTTATCCTCTTGCTTTTTGTTGATTTTGCAGGGAAATTGAAACCTCGACTTAAAAAAAAAAATGTCAGCTGATACTATATGCCATGTTGATATGTGTGCATGTTTTTCTCCAAGTTCTTGTTAATAGTGCTTGGGATTGTTTTCTTGTTGCTCTCCTCTTTTTTAATCATATTTGTTAAAAGTTGCTGAAAAGAGGGGTGGGGGGGGGGGGGAGGGGTTAATGGAGGTATTGCTATATATTTGAGAGTCCAGCATCATATGACCAGTTTACACTTTACAGAACACAGTACAATTAGGAAAAAAAACATCCTGATCAACAAGCCTTCATAAGCAAACAAAAACAAGAAACAAAAGACAAGTTCAAATTTTAATTTTTTTTTTTCAAATTACCATAAATGACAGAAGAATACAAAGATTGTAATATTTAACTTGAACTAATATGGCTTTTATTAAAGACCGAACTAAGACAAATATGGCTCTAGATGTAATCATTTATGAAGTATGTCACATTGTGTATATATGAGTGTGTGTGTGTCCACATGTTTTTTGTTCTTTCTAACATGACCGCTGACAGACAGAATACCACAGTGAAAAATGATGTGCAGACCAAACAGAATTACTTCTTCTTCTTCCACATTCACTGGCTGTAAACTCTGGCAGAAAGTTCTGGTTGTTCATCCATCCCCGGAAGTTAATCTTGTTCCAGAATCTGAGCGTTGCATGTACATCCATTTTATAAATTGTTTTTATGTAGACTGTTAGTTCCTTGCCTTTTGGGCATGCACTTGACTTCGAAGGATGGCCCACATTAGTTGACTTCTATGACATGCTTGTTGTGGAGGCAGTGGGTCTATTCTAGTTCACCCCACTATGGGATCCTGGGATCCACACTGGGACAACACAAATAATGGTCACATTGAATAACAGTCCGGGAAAACTTCATATACTTGTATGAGGCACACAAACAGGCACTTTCTGTTGTTTATTCTATACCACAACACTGGAAAATACAAAATAATCAAGATACGTATGTATATATATGTGTGTGTGTGTGTGAACGTGCCTGCCTGCTTGCTTGTGTGTGTGTGTGCATATGTACATACATATGTACATTCATGTGTGTGTGTGTGTGTGTGTGTGCGAGTGTATGCATATGTATGTATGAGTGTGTGGTCTGTCACATTGCACATGCATTTATTTAAGGACTACCCTTTCACTTGTTTGCCTATTTTCACAGCATGGAGGAGTGTGAGGCGTTGTGTAACCGTCTGGCCATCATGGTCAACGGAGCATTCCAGTGTCTGGGCAGTATTCAGCATTTGAAGACCAGGTCTGGCTCATTTATGTGTCTCAGTACATATCTTCTATGTGGGTGGGTGTGCATGATGGGAAGAAAGAGTGATTATATATTTGTGTGCAAGAAAGAGAGAAAGAGAGATAGATCCTGTGTGTGTCATATGTCCTATGTGAGAGAGAGAGAGATATTCTCTCTCTCTCCTGTGTATGTGAGAGATCATGTGTTTGTTATGTGTCCTAAAAAGAGAGAAAGAGAGAGAGAAAGAGAGTGAGAGAGAGAGAGATCCTATGTGTGTCATATGTCCTGTGTGATAGAGAGAGATATATCCCCAGTGGTATCTCTCCTGTATATGTGAGAGATCCTATGTTTGTTATATGTCCTAAGAGAGACAGATTATCATATCATGTCTTGAAAATTGTATTATTCTGACATCTCCTAAACAGTGTATTATCTGTTCCATCATCTCTTGATCATTGCATTATTGTATCATCCCCTGATTTGTTTCAGTCTCTTATATCTGGTAGAAAGACTTCTTCTTGTGGTGCTTGTGGTGAGTGTATTTTTATATTACACAACTTTCCTGTGAGTAAATCTGGACATAAATTAATTGCAAAATTGTCATCTGCTGTTTCCAGATTTGGCAGTGTTTACACTATCACAGAGTAAAACAGGATATTTTCTTAGTTACAAACTGGCTCTCAGATTAGGCCATCAAATTGTAAAACATGATATTTTTTAAATACAAAGTGGTCTTTTTGTTTTTCCGGATTACCTAAAGTGTTTCTCTCATTTCCAGATTTGGTAGTAGTTACACACAATATAACATACACAAATTTCAAATTATAAAATGTTTTTCTGATATTTCCAGATTTGGCAGTGGTGACAACATTACACAGTAAAATAATTTTTCTTAATTACAAAATGGTTTCCTTGTCTTCCCAGATTTGGCAGTGGTTATACCATCATACTGCGAGTCAGTGGTGAAAATCCAGACATGACCCCCATCATGAATTTCATCAGCTCCTCATTCCCATCAGCGAGGCTCAGGGAGAGGCATCACAACATGTTGCAGGTACGATAGTGCAGTGACGGCCTCCCCTTTTTTTTTAGGGTGTAGTATAGTACAGTGTAGAGCTTTGGGAGAGAACTAAACAGGCTCCAGTGGACCAAGAGGTGAGGAAAAGACGCTGGCGTTGGATAGGACACACACTGAGAAAACAGGAGAACAGCATAACCAGAATGTCTTTGCATTGGAACCTGCAGGGGCATAGGAATAAAGGAAGGCCAAAAAACAGAGAAGAGGGCTGGAGAATGAAGTTAGAAAGATCGGGAGAGCTCCATGTAATGGCAAAGGATAGAACGACTTGGCATAAGTTGGTTGAGGGCCTATGCTCTATTTTTGAGATCGAAAGGCAGAAGATTTGATTTGATTTGATTCAAGAACCAACATCACAGCACTCGAGGCATTCCCATAAGCGCTCCGTCCCCATCTTCAGCAGGCAGCAAAGAGTTCCGATACTAATTGGCCAGTAGCATTCTGATTAAAGGTCTGTCTTGCCTTTTCTCTGAGCCTCGAACATCTGCCAGAACCTCTCGTCAACCCCAACTGCATCAATCTCACCCAACTGTGGTGATCCATCTGCTCCTCCAAATTGTATATGCTCTCCCACAAAGCTCTAACCACGTCTGCCTTATCATGTATCAGTATTCCACCAAGTTGTGCAGAGCCAGCCAGTCTGTCTGCCTGTTCATTTCCCAACACACCGGCGTTACCCGGTGAAAAAATCCAGGCAATACTCCTCACTAGTGTCCTCTGCAGCGAAGCATGCCACTCTGCACGAAGCATACCTTTTCTGATCTTCCTCAGCATGCTTTTTGATCAGTTACAATCACGATGTTTGTGTGTGTTGTGTTTTCTAGCCAGCGGAAAGCTGCAGTGACCGCCTCCGCCTCCATTCTTAAGCTGGCAGAAGAAGAAGATAGTACGCAACCGTAAGGACCTATGAACCATGGAGCTGTGCCATTGCTTTTCGGAGCAGCAACTGCTGTGACAGTAGTCCAGTGCAGGAGTGGCAGTCTCTGTCACATTGTCCACGTAAAAACATTGATACTCTATCGTTCTGAGGCTGGTTTTTTTCTTTCTCAAATGTCTCCTCTCTATAGCTTGCTAATTTGGCTTCTTTCAAACTGCGATATTGCTACTGTACTAGGCCCTTTTTAGGTGGCACTGCACTATTTTAAAGACACCTTTTGTTGAGTGCCGCCATCATTTTATTTAAAAAAAAAAAAAAAAAAAGAACCACCAGTTAAATAGGTAAACTAAAATTCCCTTTTTTAGGTACTGCCAGCACCCTTTTAAAGACACTTTGTTTTAATGAATACCGGCATCTTTTATCTACACACACACACAAAAGATGTCCTGGTTACCTCAGTTGAAGTAGGTCAATTAAAAGCCCTTTTCAGGTCGGAGCAGCTCCCTTTTAAAGACGTTTTTGTTTAATCAGTACCAGTATCCTTCTGTTCAGAAAGAAAAAGCCATTATTACCTCATTTAAGTAGGTCAACTAAAAGCTCTTTTGATACTAATGGTGCAGTGGGCATATGATGCTAGACTGATATTTTTCTAGACAAATCGGTGCTGTGTGAATGATAAGGTTGGCATCATGCTGGCCACCTTTACTTTCCAGAACATTTCTTGATTTTCATTTTAGTCTAGGTCAGTCTGGAAGCCAAGGTCAGTTATAAAAAGATGTCCAGCTCAGTGTTGCGATGCTACTCTCTTATTGTTGGCTGTGGAATGGAGCTAGTAAAGATTATTGTTATACAAAGTATCAATCCAACCTACACATAAAATCTGGTGTCTCTGTTTCAGTACCAGCTGGGCAGTGATTACAAGGCCCTCAGTAAAATCTTCCAGACGGTGGAAGAAGCTAAGAGGGTGTACAAGGTGGAGGATTACAGCGTGTCACAGACCACTCTAGATCAGGTGCGACGGGTGTTCTGTGTTCTTTGATCATGAATGCCTATGTTTGTTTTGTTCATTCCCTGTATGGGTTAGGGTGTACAAGGTGGAGGATTACAGCGTGTCACAGACCACTCTAGATCAGGTGCGACGGGTGTTCTGTGTTCTTTGATCATGAATACCTATGTTTGTTTTGTTCATTCCCTGTATGGGTTAGGGTGTACAAGGTGGAGGATTACAGCGTGTCACAGACCACTCTAGATCAGGTGCGACGGGTGTTCTGTGTTCTTTGATCATGAATACCTATGTTTGTCTTGTTCATTCTCTATGGGTTAGGGTGTACAAGGTGGAGGATTACATTTTTGAATGTTGAATTAGGAATAGACATCATTAGCATTCGGTACACACCTATAAGCGCTCCTTCCCCATCTTCAGCAGCAAGTGAAGAGTTCCAATTCCAATGAGACCAGTAACTGTCTGATTGTATATCTGTCTTGCCTTTCCCTTGAGTGTCAAGCATCGGCCAGATTCCCTTGTAACTCCTGGCAGCGCCATTATTTTTAGACCGTAATGATCTGTCTGTGCCTGGGCACTGTTTACTCGCTCCAAAAGGGCCCTCACAGCATCCAGCTTATCATACATAATTTCACCCCTAAGTGATGCAGAACTGGCCAGTCTATCTGCCTGCTAATTTCCCAACACACCCATTATTACTGATTCATGTCAGTTAAGCTGGATTTTCATTCTTGATCTTACTTTCACATTGTGTTTTGTCTCACTTCTGTTTACTCGCGGTGGCGAGTATGGCTAGCAAGACATGCCCGAGTTAAGAAAAGTCTTCCACAATGATAGCATGGGATTTCAGGACCATTGTTGTCAACATTTGTGTTTAGTCTGTTTATTCTCAAATGTTTAGCTGTCATCCTTTTTGCAATCATTTCTTCCTTCATTCTCATTCCCTTCCTGATGCGCTCCCTCCACACAAAACATTCCATAGCATGTTGTTCAGAGTCCACCTCAGTACCTCTATCATTCATGTCTCGCTTGCACACATCTTTATATTGTGGTCGGCCTCGACATCTACTCATCATCATCATCATCATGTAGCAGGTCCTTTGCAGAACGTTGCTCTCATCACAGTCTGCATGAAAGAAACTCGTTCTCTCCCCAGTTATCCCACCTCATGTATTTTCATACTCAAGGAGTCACACAACTACCCTTACTTGCTCTGCCATCGTTCTCTTCCCCAGTTGGCGTTTGTGATCTGCCTGGCCTGGGGGCCTCACATCTACTACCCATCTTTAATTCACCATAGAGGATGTCCTCAAGCACTCTACCTTCCTCCATTCTCCTCCAAGTGTGACCCAACCTCCTGAGCCTTCGTAGACAGAGCGTTAAGAAGACTGTTATAATGCCTGCTGTTTCCAATACCTTAGTGTTTGTTATCTGTCCAGCCACTTAATTTTATGTATTCTTCTTAGACATCACATGTGAAAGCTGTTTGGCCATTTCTCCTGCTGCTAATAAGTTGACCAAGTTTCACTGCCATAAAGCAGAATGCTGAGAACGCAAGCCTGATAGACAAGAGTTTTTGTTATTAGTCGTTAGCTTTCTTTTCTTCCAAACTCGTTTTGTTAATCTGCTCATTGGTGTTGCTGCCTTACCTATCCTGATGTTGATTTCTTTTCCAGCTATAGTTTGTTATTCACTGTGAATTCCAGACAGGTAAAATGGTCAGCTGTCTCCAGCTCTTCACCGTCAATGTAGACTGAAGGTCTATCATTAACACCTTGCACCATAACCTTTGTCTTCTTTTTGTTGATTGTTAGATTTTTGTTTGTTACCGATAGATAGTAGTGATTATCTGTACAGGTGGCTCTGTGTTGAGAGGCAGAAGAAGTGCAAGGGGGTTCACTATGAAAGCGTATGGAAGACGTTTAATGCAACAAAGTCTGGTGTGAGATAGAAGGTGGAGGCAGTCACAGCGGCTTTCCGCTGGCTTGAGAACCAGCAGCACACACATGTCGTGATTGTAACAGACTCACAGAGCTTGTTAAGAAAGGTGAACCATGCAGAGGGAAAACATTGCTTCGGAGGTGCCGGGTAGTTAGCGTTCTTTGAAAATTGTCTCTGGGGCATGCAGAAATGTTGGGAAAGTGACAGCTAGAAGTTGAGTTGAGTTGAGTCAAGAATTGACATCACAGCACTCGGGAAATTCCCATGTGTGCTCCGTCCTCATCTTCAGCAGCTAGTGCAGAGTTCCAATACTGATGGTACCGGTCACAATCTGGTTATATGTCCGTCTTACCTTTCCCTGAGTGTAATGAGCCGACCAGACCCTCTGGTTACACCCAGGTGCTTCATTCTTTCCAAGCCATAATAATCTTCTTTCCTAGGAGCGACTAGGGAATCTAATCGACAATCTGCACTCAGAGGATAGGTGAAACAGACATATAATCGAACTGCTACTGGCACTACTGAAATTTCAACTTTTTTCTTGCTGCTGAAGATGAGGACAGAGTGCTTATGAGAATGTCCCAAGTGCTATAATGTTTTTAGCTCAACACTCAACACACTTTGTTTACAGATAGAAGCAACTTTGTTTACAGATAGTAGCAACTTTGTTTAGACTGAGATTCATATAAGATGAAGTGGCAACTTTGTTTACAGATAGTGGCAACTTTGTTTACAGATAGTGGCAACTTTGTTTACAGATAGTGGCAGCTTTGTTTACAGATAGTGGCAACTTTGTTTACAGATAGTGGCAACTTTGTTTACAGATAGTGGCAACTTTGTTTACAGATAGTGGCAACTTTGTTTACAGATAGTGGCAACTTTGTTTAGATTGAGATTCACATAAGATGAGGTGGCAACTTTGTTTACAGATAGTGGCAACTTTGTTTACAGATAGTGGCAACTTTGTTTACAGATAGTGGCAACTTTGTTTAAAGATAGTGGCAACTTTGTTTACAGATAGTGGCAACTTTGTTTACAGATAGTGGCAACTTTGTTTACAGATAGTTGCAACTTTGTTTACAGATAGTGGCAACTTTGTTTACAGATTGTAGCAACTTTGTTTACAGATAGTGGCAACTTTGTTTACAGATTGTAGCAACTTTGTTTACAGATAGTGGCAACTTTGTTTACAGATAGTGGCAACTTTGTTTACAGATAGTGGCATTTTCATTCACATACGATGACCTCATTCAGATGACAACTTTGTTTACAGATAGTGGCACTTCCATTTACATACAATGACCTCATTCAGACAGCATTTTAACCATAGACATCTCTCATCCATACTTGTTCACAAACTGTTTTTTCACACTTTTTGACCAGGTGTTCATCAGCTTTGCCAAGAAACAGACAGATCTGCTAGATGATGAGTTTGATGAAAATGTCAGCCATATAGACGATGACCTGGACTATGAAAATGAGGATAACATTAGCACTGTGTTGAATGCAGGTGAGTGGACAGTTTCATAGAACTCCTTCTTGGCTATGTTTCAGTGTGGGATGGTGTCCCAGTATTTGCTTCTTAGTATGGTATCTATGCTGCAGTAAAGCTGACCAAGTATTTGGACAGCTAGCCCACTCTCTTACTGCATAAGGCAATCCCAGTCAGCACAAAGAGACAGCTCATAGAAAGCTTATTCATTCCCACCCTGTGCTACCAGTGCCAGACATCACTCACAGCAAAACATAAAAGAAAATTAGTAGCCATGGAAGTGAGGTGTCTGAGAAAGACTGTAGTAGTGACTAGAAGAGATAAAATCCGGAATGAGGTCATACGAGATAAAGTAGGCACAGAACCAATTCTAAATTACATACAAAGACAGCAAATCAAATGGTTTGCTCATTTGGAGAGAATGCCTCCTGATAATATACCACACAAGGCATATACCAAAAAAGGAGAGGGACATGGAGCAAGAGGAAGACCGAGGACAAGATGGAAGATAACATCAGAGAAACTCTACACCACCATGATGTGTTTATGGTCGAAGCAGCCAGAAGAGCACAAAGCAGGACCTCATATCTCCCTCAACACTCAAAGTGGTAAAAGAGGACGTAAAGAAGAAGAAGAAGTAGATGATATGTATAGCATGGTATCTTACTCTGTATGTCTCAGAGAGGTATGTATAAGATGGCATCTTATTCTGTATGTCTCAGAGAGGTATGTATAAGATGGTATCTTACTCTGTATGTCTCAGAGAGGTATGTATAAGATGGCATCTTACTCTGTATGTCTCAGAGAGGTATGTATAAGATGGCATCTTACTCTGTATGTCTCAGAGAGGTATGTATAAGATGGCATCTTACTCTGTATGTCTCAGAGAGGTATGTATGGTGGCATCTTACTCTGTATGTCTCAGAGAGGTATGTATAAGATGGCATCTTACTCTGTATGTCTCAGAGAGGTATGTATAAGATGGTATCTTACTCTGTATGTCTCAGAGTGGTATGTTTATGGTGGCATCTTATTCTGTATGTCTCAGAGTGGTATGTTTATGGTGGCATCTTATTCTGTATGTCTCAGAGTGGTATGTTTATGGTGGCATCTTATTCTGTATGTCTCAGAGTGGTATGTTTATGGTGGCATCTTATTCTTCAAATCTCAGAATGGTATGTATAAGATGGTATCCTTTTCTTCATGACTCATGGTATGTATAAAAGTCAAGAGAGGATTGACTTCATTGCATGTTTTAATCGAGTGGTATGTTTATGGTGGCATCTTATTCTTCAAATCTCAGAATGGTATGTATAAGATGGTATCCTTTTCTTCATGACTCATGGTATGTATAAAAGTCAAGAGAGGATTGACTTCATTGCACAGAGTTTTAATCGAGTGGTATGTTTATGGTGGCATCTTATTCTTCAAATCTCAGAATGGTATGTATAAGATGGTATCCTTTTCTTCATGACTCATGGTATGTATAAAAGTCAAGAGAGGATTGACTTCATTGATTGACTTCATGTTTATGGTGCATCTTATTCAGGGTTTATAATGGTATCCGCATATGACTCATGGTATGTATAAAAGTCAAGAGAGGATTGACTTCATTGCACAGGGTTTTAATCGCTTATGGCTCGGGTTTCTCCATCGGTTAGCCACCTACCGAGAGCATCGCACAAAACTGAACTTGGTAGTTCCGGTGATGATCTCCATAAAAACGGCATCCGTGAACTGAACGACACAGCCGTGAACTGAATGACACAGCTGTGAATTGAATGACACAGCTGTGAATTGAATGACACAGCTGTGAATTGAATGACACTGCTGTGAAAGGAACCTGTGACCTCCAGAACTCAAGACAAACTGCTTGACCACACTGCCACAGTGACCCCCTGTATTGAGATATGTCTAAGATTGCATCCTGAGAGGCAAGGAACCAGCAGTCTGCATACAGATATGCTAGATTCATAAAACAGATGTGCACGCAGAACTGAAGTTGTGGAATAAAACTAAATTCCAGAAATGGATGAACAACCAAAACCTTCCACCAGAGTTTACATCCGGTGAACGCGAAGACGAAAAAGAATTGATGGCAACATTTTATGTGTTTACAAACGTCTGGAATTGTGGTTTGTTTTTTTCATGTGTACATCTAAAGTGTCCACTTTGATTTCTTCACTATCCAGACTTCACTCTGGAATCACTTGTTTGACACTGGTAACAGCCTGTGTTATGTGGGTCCCCATATCATTGTCTGTTGTTATGTGTATATTTTTTGTTTGATTGTTAGAGGTGATAGTGTTGTGTTCACTACTATATTTCTTGTTGTTGTGTGTATATTTTTTGTTTGATTGTTAGAGGTGATAGTGTTGTGTTCACTACTATATTTCTTGTTGTTGTGTGTATATTTTTTGTTTGATTGTTAGAGGTGATAGTGTTGTGTTCACTACTATATTTCTTGTTGTTGTGCATGTTTTTGAGCTTACAAATGACACCGCTGGCTTGTAGTAGTGAAATCTTTTTCTTCGTCTTCATCATCATCAGCTGGAAATTCCAGCGGAAAGTTCTGGTTGCTCGTCCACTTTTGGACTTTAAGTCTTATTCCAGAACTTGAGTTTTGCAAGCACATATATTTTACCGATCTGTCTTATTTGTATGCAGACTGTTGGTTCCTTGCCTCTCAGGCAGATGCACTGTGACTTGGAAGTCACCCACAATAAGTTGACTGTTATGACATACTTGTTAGAGTGGCTGTTGTTGTATTCCCCCCCCCCCCACCCCCACACACACACATACACAATAGGACCTCGGAACTCAGATCTCCATAAATTATGTCGCTCTGGCCCAATGCTATAACTCTTTGAGTCCCAAGAAACACATCATACGTTCACAGGTTCCGACCTAGAATCCCACACAATAGGACCATGGAACTCAGATCTCCATAAATTATGTCGCTCAATGCTATTAACTCTTTGAGTCCCAAGAAACACATCATACGTTCACAGGTTCCGACCTAGAATCCCACACAATAGGACCATGGAACTCAGATCTCCATAAATTATGTCGCTCAATACTATTAACTCTTTGAGTCCCAAGAAACACATCATACGTTCACAGGTTCCGACCTAGAATCCCACACAATAGGACCATGGAACTCAGATCTCCATAAATTATGTCGCTCAATGCTATAACTCTTTGAGTCCCAAGAAACACATCATACGTTCACAGGTTCCGACCTAGAATCCCACACAATAGGACCATGGAACTCAGATCTCCATAAATTATGTCGCTCAATGCTATTAACTCTTTGAGTCCCAAGAAACACATCATACGTTCACAGGTTCCGACCTAGAATCCCACACAATAGGACCATGGAACTCAGATCTCCATAAATTATGTCGCTCAATGCTATTAACTCTTTGAGTCCCAAGAAACACATCATACGTTCACAGGTTCCGACCTAGAATCCCACACAATAGGACCATGGAACTCAGATCTCCATAAATTATGTCGCTCAATGCTATAACTCTTTGAGTCCCAAGAAACACATCATACGTTCACAGGTTCCGACCTAGAATCCCAGTGATGCATCGATTTTATGTCTCTTTTTACTAACCCTTGTGCCTGTGATGCTAAACACTCGGGGAGTCAAAGTTAATGCGGTCTGCACACACACACACACACACACACACACTGGTGTTTTGCTTTATCTGTTACTTGTACTGGGTGCTGCAGTAGCAGATTGGATAGACACTCACCTGTCGGCCTGAAAGTCTTTTGTTAGAATCCGTGCCAGTGATTATTTAATAATTGACCTTGGTTTCCAGTCAACCCAGCCTTTAAATGGTGCCAGGTAATGTCGTGAAAAGTAAAAGTGGCCGATGTGATCTTGACTACAGCACCCACCAGGTACAGATTGGTGTTTACAAATATGAATCTAGCATCATATGTCCGTCGATCCCCGTGTGTCCGTCGATCCCCGTGTGTCCGTCGATCCCCGTGTGTCCGTCGATCCCCGTGTGTCCGTCGATCCCCGTGTGGTTTCCGGGGCCCCATTGTGAGGAAAACTAGGATAGACCCACTACCTCCCCAACAAGCATGTCATAGAAATTGACTAACTGGGGACTTCCTTCGAAGTTAAAGTGCATCTGCCCGAGCGGCAAAGAACAACCAACTGCACACAAATAAGTTAGTTATTCTTCTTAGTCTTGTGTTGGCTTTCTGATTTATACTGACAGACAAATTCTTGTGATAAACTTGACTGTTTTTAGGAGTTCCCTTTTAGTTCCATACATCTTTGAGTGCAGCGTTGACTCATGGGCCAGTATTCTCTTCTTGCAGGACATGTTCTGTAGTCTGCACACACAGCCCACAAGGGCACAGTGGTGAACTACTTAGATAAAGCCTTTGCATGTGCATGTTAAGTTTGTTATGTCCTGTCCTGAGGTGTAGAATAATGACCTGCCCATGCTGATCAAGTAGGTGATGGTCATCTCTGGCCAGACTCTGTTCACTTCTGATAGTCTGGACAGCCCTTTTCTTCTCATAGTATGTTACTGCATTCGCTTCGTGTTCACATTGTGCCCCTTTCTTAGCAAACTTATCTGCAGTTTCATTTCCTAGTATACCACAGTGGGATGGCACCCACTGGAGTACAGTAGACTTTTGGACATTCACCTTGCTAAGTTCAGATCTCAGGTGAGGGAGCTTGCCACTCTTGAGGGCTTGGAGCACCGATAGCACATCTGTGAAGATGACCACTTGGTGACCGTCAGAACTGGTGTTGTGTAACATTTCAGCAGCCTGCTCTACTGCTAGGATCTTTGCTGTGTAGTTGGAACAGAATTTACCAGTGGGTATATACTTTGTGTGGCGGTGCTTGCCTGCATTTGTGATGAAGACAAAAACTAATAAAACGGATGCACATGCAAAACTCAGGCCCTGG